GCCCACTTCTCAAGCCTGACAAGGTCCCTCTGGATGACATCTCTCCCTTCTATTTTGTCAGCTGCACCACTCAGCTTGGTGTCATCAGTAAACTTGATGAGACTGCACTTGATCCTACTGTCTGTGTCACTGATACACATGCTGAAGAGTACTGGCCTGAAGATGGACTGAGGGACAGCACTTGTGAAAAATACATGAAATATGATATAGATAGGAAATGATAACACGGTTCCTTTTTTTTTTTTCTCAGAGAGATGATAGAGCATATTCTTTTAAGCTATGGAAGGAAATACACTGATGATGGTAAGTTTGGAAGAGCACGTATGTTTTAAATTTGAAAAACAAAATAGTTACTGAGTAACTGAAAACTTTATGAGGATGCTCAAACAAATTAATGTGCTACACTAAAACTAAACACTAAGTAAAAGAAAGAAGTAAACAGTAAAATTAGTAAAATTGTTAGAGAAAGTTCCGTAGGAAAAAGCTGCTCAATTGTATGGGACACAAGAGAAAATTAATGAAGTACCTGAAGTGATATGTTAGATGTTTACAAACAATAGTTTTGTGACTGAAGATAGATTGCTTGTAAAAACTGAATGCAATCTCTTTATAGATACTGTAGATCTTGGATGTCATGTATTTAAGCAACTGATAGTGCTATTAATTGTGCAACGGATTATAGATCTCCCTGAATTCATCTTGTAAGAAGCAGACATCTCCATTGCCTGTCTTACCTATGTACATAATAGGTCAGTGCCTTCATTTAAATTCTTTTCCATGGCTGTTTTCATCTCGCCTTTGACAAAGTAGAAATTGCACACCTTACAGGACACAGGAGAGCAGTTGTAGTGATACAGATTGTCCTTTTCTGATTAGTATATTGAGGCACATTGCACAAGGAATAGTTTTGAATTATAGGAAGACTGAAAAGGTGGCAGGTAGTATGACTGAGTTTCAGAGAACTTTTGCCAAGTGAGAATAGAAAGAAATTCTCCTTATTCCTGTAATCTGATATTACAAGGATGACTGCAGAAATAAAAGTTCTAATTGTTCAACTGAGGCAGCAAACACTTTAATACGAGTCATTCAGAGTTAGGAATGAAAACTGGGAAAGTGTTACTGTGAAAAAGGGAAAAGAAGATGATTTGTTCTTCAGCATGAGAAGATATCATTAAAGAAGACTAGAACGGAATGGAAATTTGAGGCTGTTTTCTGTTCTACTATCAAAAAAAGCAAGAGTCCAAGCTATTGTGTCTTTTGTTTCTCAGCAGGGGAAGTTTACTTTGAAATGCGTGAAGATAAAATATGCAGAGCTATAGCACAAATGCTTTTGCAAAATGCAGTTAAATTCAATCTATCAGAGTTTCATGAAGTCTGGCAACAAAGTGTCCCTGAAGGGATGTCAACAAGTCTTGATCAGCTTAAGGTAAAAATATAAAGTATGAATTCTTAAGTGTTATATATAGATTTTATTGATTGATGGGGATCGATTGTATTTCTGTCAGCTTTTAAGTACTATTTCTGACATCCTCCTTGCAGCTAGCAGTGAGTTCTAGGAGGTTTTGGAGATAGAGAGAGTAACTTCTTATGGATTCACTGTAGAATGAAGAAAGTTCAGTTGTTTTCATTTTAATTAAAGCTTTCTCTGTGATGATGATCTACAGGGTTTGGCCCTTGTGGATAAAGCCTCGAGACCAGAGACCATCTTTTTGCTAAAAGTAGAAGACTTACCTGAAGACAATCAGGAAAGATTCAACAGCTTATTCAGCATACGGGAAAAGTGGACAGAAGCAGATATTACCCCTTATATCCAGTAAGGATGTATTAAAAAAAGAAATCAATTAAGCAGAATTGTGCTATAATTGGAGTTCGTATTCTTCCCTTTCTGCATGGCTGACTTTCAGCTATGTAGTTATGTCTGAAGTACTGTGTTTGAAATTGCTTCAAATTCTACATGAATAGAATCCCCACTCATGGGAACTGCAGCTATATTTGTTGGATTTGAACTTGTATAAAAAGTTGATCTTGATGACTTGAGTTGAAGAAAATATCTTGAATCTTTATTTAGTCTCCATATTTACAACTCAAGAGCTGTATTGCAGTAGTGCTTTCTGTACTGCATCCTTTTTTTGTCCTACGTTACAACGCTATGTGGAAGACCAAGCCAGGATGCATGTGGACAGGCATAAATAATGGTAACCCAGAAGCTACTTCATTAATTTTTTGGGTGGCTCTAAATTTACTTTAATATAATTATTTCAAAGCTAGTTTTAGAGATCAGTAATAATAATTTAAAACAAAACAAAACCCTTGCTTCTCAAGGAAATCATGGTCTTTCCTGTTCCTTAAATTTCAAGCCAAGTTCTAAACTTTAGGTAATTCAGAGCATTCAGAGAGTTACTCTTGTGGTTTTCTTTTTTTCCCCAAGTCCAGCTTATAGCCGTATTTACAGTCATTTCACTGAACATCATGTATGAAAGCATGTTTAATGCTAATGTCATCTGCTTTATTTCCTCTGTAGAGACTTATGTGCAGAGAAGCAGACGGTTGGTGCACTTCTGACAAAATATGCTCGCTCCTCAATGCAGAATGGTATTAAAGTTTACAATTCCAGAAGACCTATCTCATAAAAAATACTGTTTTAAAAACTGAGAATATCATATGGAGTAACAGTGAATGTTGCTTCTTCATCCCCCTCCTGGGGGAAGGAGTTGTCAACAAATGTTATGTGGCATTCTTGAACTGAAGCAGCTGAACGTTGTGAACAAATTTAGTTTCCTGCACAGCTAAGTAGAATGAGAAAGAACTTGCCTCTTCTAAGAAACCATAGTGTCTGCAGCACACTTCCACCTTCGTCTCTTTCTTTTTGTGTTTACAGTTATGCTGGAAGTTTCTTGAATATGCTTTAGCTGTCTATGCATAAACTGAAGACTCTCATTAAAAATTAAAACCTTAGTAATAATTGAATCAAATTGATTTTAACAGCAAAACAAAATGTTTAGTCTTTTGTCCTTTAGCGAGCATTTTAAGCGTGCGGATTTTGTTGCTATGTTGACATCTTGAATACTCATACCTTCACAAGCTCATGAATGAATTACTGTTAACTGAGACTAAGCTGGCTCTTTTTGTGGCCTTGAATAACGTTGACACAAACTCTTGATAGTTCAACATTTGGCAAAATGGCCTTTTAAATATTACAAGGAAAAAAATGCATAATCAGTTTTGTAAAATCAAGTCTGAAGACATGAGAAAATTATGTTACGAAGTTCCTATAAACTGTCATTAGAATGTAGCTGATGTAAAATTCATCCTTTAAAGAAGACTGCCTTTGCTTTAAAGAGAACTTGCCAAACTTAGTAATACAAATTTTTATGATTCTGGTATGGAAAATAACTGCACATAAAAATTGTGCCTTGAAAACTTAGGGTGGAATATTATTTTGCTTGGAGCAATTCATTAGAAATTTGCTATGATATAGCCTTAAAATTGAGTGCTTGTAATTGAAGTTTCTTGATTATTAAAAGCAGTTTGCGTTTGTCAGTGAAACACTTTCATTACCAAATGTACTTTTAGTAAATGCAAGGTGGAGATGGAAGAAACAAAATCAAATAATTATACTTGTACAATTTCTGGATTTTGGGATTTAGCTGAATAAAAGCTACTTCCTGAGCTTTGGTTATTCTTCTGTATTGATGCAGGATTGATTCCCTGTGTTCCATATTTCTAAAGCATAGAAGTGTGCTATTTGACCAGTTGCAGAGAGGCTCAGCTGGGCTCAGTTCCTGGAAGAATTGCCTTGTTCACTGTCTGGTTTCAACAGCTGTGGTCCTTTCTTTTAATAGCACTGGTGTTCCCTCTCAGAGATCAACAGCAGTCAGAATTTGAAAACCTGAAGTTGTTTTCAATTTGACCATATGTGGTTCTTCAGTTGAAATACATAAAACAATTGATAGTCTTGTAGTCTGTGATATAACAGTATATTTATGCTAGGTCTTGTTTGTGAAACAAGAATTTAAGTGTTACAGGAGTAGTTCTGTATCACAATACTTAATGATTTAATATTATCTAAAGTGTTTTAACGTGTGATTTTTCTACCTATTGTTGACAGTATTTCTGGTGTGCTTTGTTAAAGGTTCAAAATGAGACACTGCTAAAGAAGTGAAAATAACCGAATTAGCTTCTTTGATGCATTAACTTTAACATATAAGCAAGTTTTGATTCATCTGCTTTAACAAGCAATTGCAGGTTATGAAGAAATTAAATTTTGTATTCTGGTAATTCTAACTCAAATCTTTCCACAGGGCAACTAGAGTGTGAAGGAAGAGTGACAGACTGCATCATTATTTTAATTTTTTTTGTCCCTGCCAAGTTTCAGGCAGCATTGTTAGTATCTTAAATTGGTTTTGGAATCAAAAGGCAGGACTGTAGTCTTTTACTATCTTACTATCGATCTTTGCTGGGTATGTCCTTGAGTTTGGCCCACAGATAATTCAACTTTGTGCATTCCAAGGGTCACATGTGTGAAAGCAACCAGGTTTTGGTGCTGAGGTGCTGGCTTTGTGCAGCTGGAGCCTCCCTGAAGCCGGGCACGTTACTGTCCCTCCGCATTCGTGCTACCCTGGCTGCACCTCACACAGCTGTCAGTTAACCTCGGCCTTGCCATCAGACCCAACACGCCGCCGGGGTTAACATTTCCCTTGGAGCGCTACTGCTGTTGCAATAAACCCACAATGCGGATGGGAAACAAAAAAGGCAGGCTCTTCGCTAGCACGGTTTCTCTATCCAGCTGCAGCAGAGATTCCCGCGGCGCCCTGCGCGGCTGGCGACCAACCGCCATCTTGCCGCCGCAGCGACGCACCCACCGCCCAGGCTGCGCGCATGCGCACACATCCCGCTCGGGGCTGCGCCAGAGGCGCGCAGAGCGCATGCGCCTGCACAGGACCTGACCTCCCCCCCCACGCCTCTTGGGTTACTTTCGGCGTGTTTTCTTCTTCTTTTTTTTTTTTTTTTTTCATTTATGGCTGCCTTAGAGAGTCACCGTGGCGCCGCTTTGAAAAACAAAATGTGTTTTCCGGAGATTTTGCCTTCTTAAAGAAGCAACGCTCCTTCGGGCTGTGACCTTTCACCCGGCGGGGTGAGAGGTTGCCGACAAAATGGCGGCGGCTGCCGCGGCAGGGCGCGTTGGCGGGAGGCGGCCGAGCTGCTGAGGGAGCCCCGCTCGGCCCTGCCCGGCAACCCCGGACGAGAGGGAGCCCAGGCCGGAGCTACGTCCGTAAGACCGAGCCGCGGGCGGCCCCGCGCCGCCTCTCCCCTGCCCCGGCCGGGTGTCCTGTCAGCGGGGCACTGCTGTGTCCGCCCGGCCGCTCCGCAGCCCCTCCGCGCTCAGTGCTCTCCATTAATCCGGTTGGTTCCCATAGCTGCCGTGTGAGCTGCTGTCGTGCCCCAGCAGACGGAGGGGTTGCGAGTTACCTCGTAAAGGGTTATGTAAAAAGACAGCGTTGTTGGCGTTGTAATCATGGTGCTGAGCCGAGCTGGAGATGCCTGACTCGTCAGTCACGGACCCACTGTGGAGATGAGGGATCGCCTGCAGCGTGGCACGGGGAAAAGCCGCGGGAGCCACCGAGCGAGGAGGATGCCGGTGTCCTTCTGACAGCCTGTGGTGTGTCGCAGTGCTGCTGGTCAGGATGAACAGGAAGAAAGGAGACAAAGGATTTGAGAGCCCAAGGCCGTACAAATTATAAGTATCTGTTTCTTAAAAGATTGTTATACTTAGGATCCTGATGCGTTTGGAGCAGGCTGAGCAGTTGTTTTCCACCTGAGGAGCTGAAACTCCAGTCTGGAGAAGCTTGCTCTCAGTGCATGCATCTTGTGGGGTTTGTCTTGTGTGATCTCATGGACAGAAAGGCTGTAAAGCATGCAGTCTCATCTTGCAAAGAAATTTACATTGTGCTCCTCAGAGCTTACAGATCTCTCCAGGCAGTATCAGCACCACAGATAATGCTATCACGTTTCATTCTTACTGGTGTGTCAGGCCCTCTAGTCTCACAGGCTTTTTAATGTATGAACACAAGTATATTTATAAATAAAAGCGAGCATTTGTGCTGAAGAGGTCTGAGCAAATGATCATTTTTTACAGTTAGTTTATAGCCAAATTATAAAGAAATTGGTTGCATGTGTCAGAGAATCTTCATGTTCTCATGATGTTCAGCTTGGAGAAAAGAACGCTCGGGGGAGACCTCATTGTGGCCTTCCACTACTTGAAGGGAGCACATAAACAGGAAGGGGAACGGCTGTTTACAAGGGTGGATAGTGATAGGACAAGGGGGAATGGTTTTAAAATGAGACAGGGGAGGTTTAGGTTAGATACTAGGAGGAAGTTTTTCACGCAGGGTGGTGATGCAATGGAACAGGTTGCCCAAGGAGGTTGTGGATGCCCCATCCCTGGAGGCATCAAGGCCAGGCTGGACGTGGCTCTGGGCAGCCTGGTCTGGTGGTTGGCAATTCTGCACATAGCAGGGGGGTTGAAACTAGATGGTCACTGTGGTCCTTTTCAACCCAGGCCATTCTGTGATTCCATGATTTGTGTACTTTTTTTATGTTTGTGATTTCCTTAGAAGTCTGTATAACTTTAAACAGAACGACTGATGGTATCATAGGGATTTTGGTATGTAGGTGATGTTTGAATTCACTGAATACTAGATTTTTATAATTTTCTTGAAGGAATTTTATTCAAGTCTCTCAGTTGGAGCCAAGTCCTTTTTTAATGCACAGTCATGAGTATATTTGTACAGTGTGTGACATGGCATAAAAGCTGTGTCAGTATAAGGCTGTATCTTCAGTCAGTATTCTGAAGTGTTGAATTGATTCTGTCAACTGCAGAAAATATATAGAAATAAGTTCTGGAAGTTTTTAAAAGTTGGAGTTACTATTTTATCTCTTACTTAGGAAATTAGAGTTTTATTTACCAGGAGTTCTAATATGCAACTCAAAACTTAAGTGAATGTGTTTGACTTGTTTACAGTACTGATCTTGATTAATATATCACAATTGTCTAATACATTTTTATAACATTCTAACTGTAAAAATGCATACTATAATCTTTTTTTGCACATCATACCCACTTAAGTAAATGATGTGTGAGAAGCAACTTACCAGGTGCTGCAGATTGCAAGTGTTAGGGCTGAGTCCCATGTCCAGTATTCGAATCACAGAATCACAAAATCCTGAGTTGGAAGGGACCTCTGAGGGCCGTCTAATCCAACTCCTCTGCACTGAACAGGGACACCACAGCTATTTGCCCATTGCTTTAATACTAGAACTTGATTTCAAGCTATCAGTAATGCTGTGTATTTACATACTGTTATACAATGTTCAAAAGCTTGTGGAGGTACCTTTGTATGTTATTAGTGCCATTTATATTGATATGATGCTGCACTTTGCCTTTATTGGAACTTTTCTGGCCTTGCATGCAGCATAAATTATTTAAGTGGGAGACATAGGGCATAGCAAATTCTCTCCTTATAAATACATGCTGTATGCAGAATTTGTCTATACCGTATACTGTATGATCACTGTTAATTTATAACTCTTGAAATATTGTTTTAAATACTGATAATTGTGCAAAACCTTACTTCTTTAATTTTTTTTTTCCAGCACGACTCACCAGGTAGTTTGTATCAACAACATAAATTTTCAGAGAAAGTCTGTTGTAGTAAGTATGTTTTAATAAAATATGAAAGAAGAAATGGAAAGTGTGGGTTTCCTTCATGATTTTAGAAGTAACAGCTGCACACACAAGCTGATTATGTTTATCAGCTTCTTATGCTTTCTCTTAAGTCTTTCATTTGTAGAGATGCTCAAATGAAATACTTCGTAATAGTGATTGTTCTAACCTCTGTGTGGAAAAGCTTTCTAAAACAAAGCTTTCCAAAGGAAAGTCGGTAATACCACAAAGCAATCTGCAGTCAAGAATTAACTTTTAACAGCGTTAGTTGGTGTTAAGGATAAAGTTATTCATAGCTTGCACGTGAGTTCATGAGATTTGAAGAGGCCTCAAGGCTTTGAGACTATTTGTGAATGTAGATGTATGGCTGAATGGAATCTACTTAGATTTTAAGAGTCATTGTTTCAAGCTTAGATGCCAAAACCTAAAACACGGGCATGAAAAAGGTTGGTAATAAACTTGATATCTAGTCAGCAGATGCAAATATTTTCCAGTAAAATAAATATAGTTATCAATCCTTTTCAAGTTCTGATTTTTATTATTATTTGTTTTGTAACTGGGAAAATTCACCTGGTAGATTACATGAAATAAAATGTATTTTAGACATATACAAGGAAAATACTATTTTTTTAGGTACAAAATTAATATTTTACCTGTGATTTTCCTCTGGAAATGCATTTGATTTGTTTTATTTTTAATATATCTTTGCTTGGTGAACTGGCAAAGATTTTAAAGGAAGTGTTGATTTGTGTTTTCGTAGGGCTACGTGGAACTGACAATATTTCCCACAGTTGCAAACCTGAATAGAATCAAACTTAACAGTAAACAATGCCGGATTTACAGAGTAAGGGTCAATGATTTGGAAGCAGCTTTCATCTACAATGATCCAACGCTGGAGGTCTGTCACCATGAGTCAAAGCAGTAAGTGAAGTGTTTTAAACTCCGTGGATGTTGTGTTTTCTTCTGTTGTGAAGCATCACCTATTGTATTAGCTGGTTTTACTTGTTGATAAAGACATTGATAAAAATCTCATGTCCATTTTTTTTTGGTAAGGGAAGCATAATGGCTATGTGTTCTCTTTTGACCTTGCTGAAATGGATGTCCATGTTTTCACATATTCTTTTGGATGGCTTGGTGGAGTTTACAGTTCTCAGAATTACTAAAGGCCTTTCACTGAAAGTGCTACAGCTGTTTAACAGCGGCTGATATGAAATGAGACTCTTCTGGGTTGGCAGGGACCTCCTGTGATCATCTGGAAGATATGAGAAAGAAGCATTTAAAACAGTCATAGCACTCAATTATGTTAAGAAATGAATCAGAAGAGATAATTGATGAAATCGTGAAACTGTTATCATTTTGTGGAGAAAGAACATTGTTTAGCATCCTAATGGCACAGTGGCACATCATAGCTTTTTAAAATTTTATTTCTTCTCCCAGTTATCCTGTTTAAGAGCAGTAAATGAAATCTGAAGGTGAGACGTGCCAGGTGAAACACAGTAGGCTGAGAGCAGACTGTGGTTTTCACGTATCAGAACTTAAAGAAAGCTTCTATCTTTCATTACTCCTGTTCATATAAACCTTTAATTAGCATACAAAATGTATTTTTAGCTTTTATGTCATTGATAGTTTGTCCATCAGTCTAAAATATCATTCAGATAAAACTGAAAGCCTTATTAGATTATTATAGGTCAGGTGTTGATTTCTTCTTGAGTCTTCCGGGCATCACTGCTTTTTTAACAGTCAGTACCTGACTGTCTTGGAAAAAAAAATGTTGAAAAGTTAGAAAGTAGTTCACTGTAAAGTATAAAACAATGTGTATAAGTTTGCCCACCGTACACAAGGTGGCAGAGAATCCCATTTAGCTCATGCATTTAAAGAAGGGATTGGAATCTTTTAAGTACTGCTTCCAGCCTGCAAGTAGTGTTGGAGCATATCCCTCTACACTGCTCTTGTAAGGCCCCATCTGGAGTACTGTGTCCAAGTCTGGAGCCCCCAGTACAAGAAAGACAGGGAGCTGTTGGAGAGGGTCCAGAGGAGAGCCACAAAGATGTTCAGGGGACTGGAGCACCTCCCCTATGAGGACAGGCTGAAGGAGCTGGGCTTGTTCAGCCTGGAGAAAAGAAGGCTGCAGGGTGACCTCACTGCAGCATTTCAGTACCTAAAGGGAGCCTACAAACAGGAGGGGAATCAACTCTTTGAAAGGGTGAGTGACAGCAGGACAAGGGGAAATGGTTTTAAGTTGAGGGAAGGGAGATTTAGGTTGGACATCAGGGGGAAATTCTTTACAGAGAGAGTGGTGAGGTGCTGGAACAGGCTGCCCAGAGAGGTTGTGGATGCCCCATCCTGGAGGTGTTCAAGGCCAGATTGGATGGGGCCCTGGGCAGTCTGGTCTAGCATTAGGTGGGATGGTTGGTGGCCCTGCATGTGGCAGAGGGGTTGGAGATTCATGATCCTTGAGGTCCCTTCCAACCCTGGCCTTTCTGTGATTCTGTGATCTGTTTGGGTCTTGTCTTAGACCTGTTGCTGTAGTGTTACAGCAGCTTTTGTTGTCCTCTTCTTCCCTGTTTTCACTGTAAATTCTAGCTTTTTTATTTCTGTCTGTATAAGGAATTTATTTTTCCAAGCTGTAGTATGCAGAAATCCTACAGCCTCTATTTGACTACTGAGACAACCACTCATGTCTCAGCCCCTTCACAGTTAAAATGAACAAAGGAGATATTTTATTCTTCTGTGTATTTGTTTGTTTGTTTTATTTTTGTACTGTTGTGTATACTGTTAAATAGTCACAGCAAAAAGGACTTCTGTTTTGGTCTGATAAGTGAAGTTTGTGGTTATCCTGCTCTTGCTGGGATATTTGCTTCACACATTTGTGATAACTGTGGTGCAGGTTTGAGAAACTATTGCATTTTAGTATTGCTTTGGTATAAAGGAAGACATGCCTTTGTATAGCTCACTAATGGACACATACTGCTTTCCTGTGTGTATGTACTCTATTCAGTATAATTTTAACCTTGAGCAGCATATACCTGTCCATTCATTAATTCATCAACTAGTTGTTTCGTTGGGTTTTTTTGAACATGAAGCTTGTAATTCTTAAAGACATTTTGATATCCTCCAGTTTTGATGTTGGTTTAGATGGAAGCAGCAGTAGCTGCAGAAAAGATCTTTGTGACAGCCTTCAGGGCATGTGTTGTACTAGTCTTTCATCTGAGAGGTCAGGGGTCAGCCTTTAACCAATGCACAAAACAGACAAGTTACTGGTGAACAAAGTGTGTGCTGCTTTGTGATTTGCTGCAGTAAATAACCTTCATTTCCACTGGTAGGATTCTTCATCTAGTTGTAAACTCATGATGCACTTTGTCATTGCTTAATCTCTTCCTAGCAGAAGTGTAGAGAAGTTTTGAAAAAGGGGATGGCTAGCACTTAGCTGCGGGCAAGAAAAGTTCTTTTTTCAATGTGACAGACGTTCAGATTGTTGTTTTATTAATAAATTAATAAGAAATGTACGTGCATAACATACATACATATAGCATGCAATATATTTTAGTTCTGTACTATGTTTTAGAGTAAGACTCCAGAAGTAAGTACTAATTTGTAGTTAGGAAGCAAAGTACAAGAGTAGTAATAGTAATGAATTACATATGGAGCAAAGATCTTATTTTATGAAGTTGATGCTGAATACTGCAGAAAGAAAGTTGTTTATAAACTGTGTGTTTGCTCTGCATAGCAGTTACTTAGCCCTGCTGCCCCTACTAGTGAGGAATGCAGCTGAAAGTTGGCATGGAGGTATTAGGAATCAGTGGGTAGCTTTAAAGAAATGTCTTTACAAGATTGCTCATTGTCAGTCAATCAACAGCACATTCTTGGTCAGTAATTAACAGTGTTTTGTGTCTATTCTGTTAATAAAATGACTCTACCAGGAAAACTCATGAATTCATACTACTATTTCACTGTGCACACTTTCCATTATGTTTATTTCTTGGGATGTAACTTCTGGCTTATGCTCTGTTTTTTGTTTAAAATGGTTATATCCTGAGAGTAGCCTAACCTATGAAAAGATTAGTCTGTGTTCCTAAGTCTTTAATGGATTCCTTTTACAATGAATCACCCATTTGAACTGGAACACTTCACAAAAATAGAAATATCAGAATAGACTGTTTCCCATAAAATGTTAAGCCCTCTGGAGTCTACCTTTCATGTTATAAAATCATAACCTTTTCCTGTCTATGAATCCATTGATATTTAAAATTTAACCACAAATTCATCATGAGACTCAAACTTGGAAAAAATCCTTACTGATGTACTGGAAAAGAGTCTCCTATTGACAGTCATGAATTTTCAGAACAAGTTTACATTAAAGTGAAAAATCTTTGAGACATTACAATCTATTAAAGTGTTACTGTTTTCTCTTGCTAATTTCTTTAATTAAGAAGGTAGTTTTCAGTCATGCAGTCTTTTTAAAATACAGTTTTCCCAATGATGTTTGTCTTTGTCGGATGCTGTTTCAAGTTAGCTTACAACAGTGTTAGTTGAGGTGGTTTTGGTGCCCCTGATAGTCTCCTGTGCCTCAGCATTAGCACTGCTCTGAGCCCTTGGTGAGTCATATCAGGGAGTTAAACCAACTGAAAGCTCTCTACCAAAAAAATTTAAGCTGGTTTGAATTCATCATATAGTTGAAGTATATTCCAGTAAACACATTCAACTACCTTTAGATGCACTTCAACTAAGAAAAAAAAAATTCATGGTTATGTATTGAAACTTAAGATTTAAGTGTTCCTGTATTTAGTCCCATTTCAGAAGCTTTCAAGCTAAATAGGCAAATTGGGTGCTCCTGCAATTCTCAGTCTTCGTAGTGGTACCAGGGAATGTGTGCATTATCATTGCCTAAGATCAAGAACTGGATGAAAATATGTCCTCACTATATTTTGGTGTTTGGCTAAGTTTTTCAGATGAGTAAGGCTGAGAATATAAGCATGGTATTTGACACGTATTGACTTCTGGGATGGTCTTGACATAGCTAATTACCCTTCATTCTTCCAAGTCAGGTACTGCAGTTTGGGTTGAATGCCATTTTCTTGGTGGGTGGTGAATACAGAGTGGTTAGATGAAAGTAAGTAAAATCCTGAAATGAGATCATGTCTGCTTTGTGTAGACTTGAGATTCCACGGAAAAATGGAGTTCACAGCCAAAAGTTAATTTACTCCATTGTGGTGCAGCACCACTGCAGAGAACTTTGTGCTTGACTGCAGCTCTGCCCCCACAGTTGCTGGATTCATCAGAGGTGCACAGCTAAATGCTCGGAATTCCTTTTGGAAGGCAGAGGTGATGAGTAACTGAAATACTTTCTCCTCACACAGAAATCTGTGTACCAGAGGATTAGAATTAAGAAAGACATCATGCCCATGTTTTGTAGAGTTAAAAATCCATTTTTAAAGAACATGAAAGCTGTAGCATAAAGATGCAAAAGCAAAGCTACTTCTGAACTTGACTGGTGAATCTTTTAGTATGTGAATATGATAATACTGAACAATAAGAAGATAGAATTCAGCTTGTAACAATAAACATGCCTATGTGCCTGTTCATTTCATAGGAAAATAGTTAATCTAAGTCACAACTAAAGTAATGATACTGCTTTAGAATGAAATGTGTTGTCAGCTGCTATATAGTCACTTAAACTGCTGTAACTCTATTGTAGAAATTCGTCTGCATCCAAAATAAATGAATGATTGCGATCTTTTCTTTTTAAATTGTTTCCAAGGACCAAAAAGTGCTATCCTTTTTACCCATGAAATTTGGTATAGAAATCATGTCACTTTAAAAGTTGTTTTATTGGGATCATTGTATACTTTAAGAATTAAACGGCTATTTCTGACAGGAGGAATCTCAACTATTTTTCCAATGCCTATGCTGCTGCAGTCAGTGCTGTGGACCCAGATGCTGGAAATGGTGAACTCTGCATTAAGGTTCCCTCAGAGCTGTGGAAACATGTTGATGGTAATGTAAAGACACTGTTTACTGAAAACTTAATGTAAGATGCCAGGGAATTGCTATCTGCGAGTTCGTATAGGAGAATAGGAGATCTAAATAAATAGAAATATCATTATGTTATTTTATGAAATGGTGATTACTGTTTTCTTTTGTTGTCACTCATCTTTCCAGCTGAAATCTGAAAAATACCTTTGTGATTGTTGGTAAAATCGAGAAGTGGTTGCAGCACCCTTTACAAACTCCAGGTGGTGCTGAGCCCAGAAATATACATGGGTATAATGGAGTGTGGTGGGTGCTAAATTATAAGTGTTTGAAGCTGCTTAAAGTATACATGAGTCAACAAAGAAAATAATTTACCAGAATCTCTCTATTTACATATTTATAAAGCTACATTTTTTTTCCCATCTCACTTTGAAAACATTTGTGCATTGTTGTCAGTTACATCTTACTGGGAAATACTTTTGTTATTTTATTGTAATTTTAGTTAAAGTTCCCATTGTGTTACCTGCAAACCTAGAAAGAAAAATATTCCAACAAGTATATTTTTTCTCAAAGTTGCAATGCCAGTTTATGGTTACACTTCTTGGCTAAACTTCTCTATTTGCTTGAATTTCTTTTCTTGCCTGTCTCTTCATGGGTGAGATTTCTGTGAAACTGAACCAAAGCAAAGACACTTCGGTCACAGGAGAAGCTTTAAATATAATGAGGTTTTAAAAAACTGCAAATTATAATAGTATATCTTTTTAGAATGTGCCTGTTACTTGCAGTTTTGGTAGAAAATTATTTCAGTAGTGTAACTTCAGCAGTGTAGAAACGAAACCACGATAAAGGTACAATAGCTGTATCTTTATTGTTGAGGAATAGGAAGATTAAATGCAACTCCAATTGAAGTTTTTATCTCATAAATTCATATCCTGTGAGTTAAGAGGTCACAGTTTTGTAAGCTCATGTATTTGTAAGGTGAACCTGTATGTAGATAAAAACGAATTAAACAGATAGTCTTGAAAGACCAGTAGTCTGAAACTGAATGATTATTCTGAAATAACTTTCACATAACTTATGTATGTTCTTTGATTTCTGTCTCGATGCTGCAGAGTTGAAAGTCCTAAAGGTGCACATAAATTTTTCTCTGGATCAGCCAAAAGGAGGTCTTCATTTTGTGGTACCCAACATGGAGGGCAGCATGGCAGAAAGAGGTGCTCATGTCTTTTCATGTGGTTATCAAAATTCTACAAGGTAAGAATACTGTCTTTGAATGTTAGACTACAGTTCCTATTTAATCTCAAAGTGTAGGAAATACAGTTTCTCTGAATTCTTGGTAAAGCTGAACACTTGAAAATTTAATTGCTGCTTGAAATGAGCTCACCAGTGTGAAATAGCACCCAACCATTAGGCTTTCTAGTCACTATAGCTCAGGAGGTAAAGAAATTTGCAGTGCTTTGTGAAAGCAGTGTATATTTATACATGTTACCGTATAGTAGAAGCGTGTCAGTGTTGACAATGTTAAAAGATACAGTTTGGAACTTGAAAGAAATATCATTTGTGAAACATAATTGTTAACCATCTTTGCCACACACTGACTTTCCTAGATTTTGGTTTCCTTGCGTTGATTCATATTCTGAGCTGTGTACCTGGAAACTTGAATATACTGTGGATGCTGCAATGGTGGCTGTTTCAAATGGAGATTTGGTGGAAACTGTATATACCCATGACATGAGAAAGAAGACATTTCATTATATGCTGGCAATTCCAACTGCTGCTTCTAACATCTCCCTAGCCATAGGACCTTTTGAAATTCTTGTTGATCCATACATGCATGAGGTAATAATCTTTATAGATATCTCCTTTTCTTTTTATTAAAGAGGTAGCTACTATTTTAAAAAAAAAAAAATCAGTCCTTGAGAAGAGCAAACTGATAAATTTCTATGGAGTTAGAGTTGTATAAAGTTGACTTGACATTACAAACCATTCTAAACTTCATTTCTGTGCTGAAGTTACCTTTTGGAGAAAACAGTAATATTGAAGGTTACTCATAGCTTCGGCTCTATTAGGTTGTCTCCTAAATGATAACACTGCTTCACTAGATGTTATGTGTCTCATTCATTATTATGTAAGAGAAAAATAATACTCCTGAAGACACTAGACTACAACGTCACAAAAAAAAAGTCAGGTTATGTTAAATGATAGACATCAGTAGGTAGATGTCATCTTTGAATACATTTTTAAAAACTATTGTTTGTTGTTACTCTCACAATTTAGGTAGATATCCTGGTGCACTTTTCTGCCATTATAATTACTATCATGGTTGAAAGTGCTTTTTTTTCTGATAGATTTGTATTAGTCGTACCATTTTTGGTTTTTTTTCTCTTTCATTAATTAATTTGATGTAAACAGATTTAAACATATTCACCAGTCCTGTACCAATTTTTTCCTTTGTAGGTGACTCACTTTTGCTTGCCACAACTACTTCCATTGCTCAAACATACCACGTCATACCTTCATGAGGTTTTTGAGTTTTATGAGGAGATTCTGACCTGCCGCTATCCATACTCCTGCTTCAAGACGGTTTTTATTGATGAAGCGTATGTTGAAGTAGCTGCTTATGCATCCATGAGTATTTTCAGGTTAGTATTTGAGAAAATGATGCTTTCTAAATCTGTGAGCATAGAAACTTTAAGACTACTGGGAAATACCTGATATTATTTTTATAGTCTGAGTTTTGGGTTTCCTACTATGAAAAAGCTGTCTTTTGACATTACAGACTTTAACAGCATTTCTCATTATATATTTTTTAAAGATGTTGGATTCACATCTTCAACAAAAAATTGGCAGAGGTTTTCTGATTTAGAAGCACCATGCATGAAATATTTAAGATCGGCTTAAATGTACTCATTTGATTATGTTTTGCTTTTCTTCAGCTGGGAGAGGGTACTCTGAATCCAAAAGATAAATTCTGTGTATATATAATAGATACACTGCCTAGATTAATGTTATTTAAAAAAAAAAAAAAAAAAAAAAAAAAAGAAAAGTTGATCTCTTGCTGGAAAATCAGTGAAAGAAATAGTGTATTTGTTTTGGCTTTTAAAACAAGGTCTCTTTTTTAATATTTACTTTTTGGGGGGTGTTGCTTTTTCAAGCTTGTGCTCATACTGTGTTATTCTCTTTTTATGGGGTCCAGCACAAATCTCTTGCACAGCGCAATGATTATAGATGAAACTCCACTGACTAGGAGGTGCTTGGCACAAGCCCTGGCCCAGCAGTTTTTTGGGTGTTTTATATCCAGAATGTCCTGGTAAGTATTTTAGTGTGGTACTCTCTAGAAAAAGTGGAAAATTTAGGGAACTGAAATTTATTTTGTGTATTGTATTTTACCAGAAGTATAAGTGAAGAAGTAACTGTAAAAACCATCTCAGTAAATGAAAATCCAGGATAGCTTTTTTTTTCCCTTAGATCAGGAATGTGAGATGTATATGTTCAGAGGACTGTAGTGGTTGAATGTGTCTTCTCTCAAATTACTTTACTCATTGTTGTACTGTGCTTTGGTAGCTATACATTCATAGAGGATAATTATTAGAGAATTTCTGTCACATATCTGCCATTCTTATGCTTTGGATTCTAGCTCATGTTCATTTTGTGCTTCTTCTCCATGTTCTTCTCTCTTAAGACAACTCTAAGACAACTTAAGACAACTGTTTTTAAGTGGGTGTCCCTTGAATTGTGCAGATAGGCAGTTTGTCTCATTGCTGTCCAAATGTTCTTCATTGCATTGAGAGAGGTATCAAGAAATTAAGATCATGTAGATTAGGAGTCATTTTAACTTTCGTATCTATTTCCATTGTTTTGTTACGGTTTCAGCTAAGGTAGTTTGCTTTTATGTTTTAATCTGGACTTCTGTGGTTGAAGTTCAGTTTTCACTGGCTCTTCAGTTTCATTGGTCCCATCCAGGTGCCAAGTTACATAAATTGGTTCACAGCTCATCAGACTTCTATTGACTTAGAGAATGTTATATAACCTGCTGAAAGCTGTGACTATTTTGAGCTAGTAAAAATACTATCCATTATGAAATACTTTCTGAAGTGTCATAATTTGTGGTTCTTTCTTATTATAGGTCAGATGAATGGGTGCTAAAGGGAATCTCTGGTTACATATATGGCCTTTGGATGAAAAAAACTTTTGGTGTTAATGAATATCGTCACTGGATTAAACAGGTAATAACATAATAGTAGTATTTCCTAATTATATTATAATTTGTGGATATGGTATCAAAATTTAAAGCTAAATACCAAATACATTAACCATAGTATGTTTCTGCAACTATCTTACAAATAATAATTTTCATCCACTTTTGTGCAGTTGATTTTTTTCTTGAGCTTTTGCCTGAGTTTTTCCTCAAAGAAAAAAATTAACAGAAAAACAGTACTTTTTAGAACTTAAAATAGAATGCAAAATCTATAAGGAGATCTCTTTGGTGAACTGAAGTTGTAATTCTGTGATGACTCTACCTTAGAAAGGTTCCGGTGATGGCTTAGATCAACCAAGGTATTTTTTGGCCTCATTTAAATACTATCTTTATAGTAAAACAGTAGACAAATACCTGTGAAGCTGTCTCAAGTCAGTTGATAATATACATATCATAGTGGTTTATCCTGTTAGAAAAACATAGAATTGTAGAATGTTTACATGAGTTGATAGTGATAGGACAAGGGGGAATGATTTTAAACTGAGACAGAGGAGATTTAGGTTAGATATTAGGAGGAAGTTTTTCACACAGAGGATGATGACGCACTGGAACAGGTTGCCCAAGGAGGTTGTGGATGCCCCATCCCTGGAGGCATTCAAGGCCAGCTGGACGTGGCTCTGGGCAGCTTGGTCTGGTGGCTGGCAACCCTGCACATAGTAGGGAGGTTGAAACTAGATGATCATCATTGTGGTCCTTTCCAACCCAGGCCACTCTATGATTCTATGACTGGTTTAGATTGGAAGAGATCTTTAAGATCAAGTTATAGGCAGGGACACCTCCCCCTGGACCAGGTTGCTTAAAGCCCATTGAGTCTGGCGCTGAAAACTTGCAGGGAGACTCTTCAGGGAGAGGGAGCACCCACTACTTCTCTGGGCAACCTGTTCCAGCGTCTCAGTACCCTCACAGTAAAGAATTTATTCCTAATATTTATTCTATCTAGATATCTTGTATCTTATAGTTTAAAACTATTTCCCCTCATCCTGTTACTATATGCCCTTAAAAAACTCCCTCTCCAGCTTTCCTCTAGGCCCTCTTTGGGTACTGGAAGGCTGCTATAATGTCTCCCCGGAGCCTTCTCCAGGCCTTAATAGTGCCAACTCTTCCAGCCTGTTCTTGGAGCAGAGGCTCTTCAGCCCTCTGTTCATCTTCGTGGCTCATGGCTCTCCTCTGAACCTACTTCAACAGCTTGATGTCTTTCTTGTATTGGGGGACCCAGAACTGGTTGCAGTACTCCAGGTGGGGTCTCATGAGAGCAGAGTAGAGGGGCAGAATCACCTCTTTCGACCTGCTGGTCGCACTTCTCTTGATGCAACCCAAGAAACAGTTGGCCTTCTGGACTGCAAGCACACACTGCTGGCTTATGTTGAGTCTTTCATCAACTGACACCCCCCAAATCCTTCTCTTCAGGGCTGCTGTCAAGCCTTTCTCCCCCCAGTCTGTATTTGTGCTTTAGATCACCCTGATCCAGGTGCAGGACCTTGCACTTGGCCTTGTTGAACTTCATGAGGTTGACATGAGCCCATCTCTCAAGCCTATCCAGCTCCCTCTCGGTGGCATCCCTTCCCTCTAGTGTGTCAGTTGCACCACTCTGCTTAGTGTCATCTGCAAACTTGGGAGGCGTGCACTTGATCCCACTGTCCGTGCTGCCTACAAAGTTGTTAAATGACTCTGGTCTCAGCACTCATCCCCGAGGAACATCACTTGTACCTAGATTCCACTTGAACATTGGGCCATTGACTGCAAGTCTGAGTCTGACCATCTAGCCATGTAGACTGACAAACATCATTTCCCCAAACTGATGTAACTTGAGGACTGTTGAAAGTTTTGATGGATGCTCTGTCTTTATTTCATTCTTCTGTGATCAATCTGATGTCTGAGCAGGAAAGTATACTTCATTTTATATGGGCTTGGCAGTCTTCTCATATTCTAGGATATGGATAGACTTTAAGGATAAGGCTGAGGAAGTCATTCAAGAAGAGTTACTTACCCACAGCTACTTGTCTTTACACTTCCATTCTTTGTTCATATTATAATTAGCTCACTTTCCCAAGGAACTCATAAAACACAGTATGAATGTGTGATAATAAGAGTAAACCAAGTAGCTTTTTGAAAGAGATACAGTGCAGTCTTGCTTCTGACCAACTGTATATGATGAGTGAAGAGATGACACTCTTTGGTGCTCAGATATTTCTGCGCTTGCATATTGCAACATTGTATGTACCTTCCTTTGAATCAGAACATACTGTGGATGATTTTGGAGATGGGAAGGGGAACTTGTTGGAATTGTTGGACCTAAAACTTTTGATGTCTGTGGTGAAAGTTGATAGCTTTTTATTTTCATTAAGATTTTTTTTTTCCATTAAGAGTCACCTGTACTGAAAAAGAAGGTTTTGTCTGTTGGTTATATTTCTAAGTGTAATGGTGTGAGACAGGAACTTAATAGTCATAACATTCACTCTTTTCAGTGACATTCATTTATAGAAAGATACATATCTTCTTCATCTTGTCACATTTTTTCTACCAGTGGGCTTCAATTACTTCTCTTACCCACACAGGTACCCAGTACCTTATCCTTACCTGAATAAGGCATGTTCCACCTCACCAGTCCTGTGCTAAACATGGTTGTACAATAGAGAACACCAGAGTCCAGTGCTGTGTGCAGAGTTGCTTCTGAGTATTAGATGTTCATGTACTCTCCCTGTGTGTTAGTTATGTGCTTCCACATACAACTGAGAAATGCTGCTGTCACAGCTTCCCTAACTGTTTTTAACATATTGTTAGTATATGAAAGGATACAAGTTGATAGGAATCAATATGTATCAAAATGTGTCAGCATTGGAAATTCCTTGTCTAACATGGGGTTGCAGACAGCAGTTCACTCTCCTTATGCTAAAACTGACCTGATTTGATCCAGAAGCCATGTTGACTGTTGGATGACAGTGAGCAAACATCCTGCCTTAAGTGTGTTTGTTAACATGGGCACAGCAGCACACAAATTCAGACACAGAGCCTGCTTCTGTCTGGCTTGGATGTAGGTGAAGGTGAGGTGAGCTTTTATATTCTGCAGTCTCCTATGTAGGTGTACCCAGTATTACTTTACTCTGAATGGAAACATTCAAATAAAGAAAAAAGATCGGAAGAAACTTACTCAGTGGACAATAATATTCTTCAGATGTGTTGATATTAGGTTTAGATTATTATAGATTTAGGTGTTGTAGGCTGACCCATAATCCAGATTGAGAGCAAGAGTTAACTGCCAGTTTCAACTGTCTTATTATTGCTTGCCATGCTGAGGAAGATCACTGGTTTTAAAATATTAGTCTGTGCTTGAAAACATATTTCTTCAGAAGGTATGGCTTGAACAATGATGTTAAAAGCTTCTCTATCTTCTATAACTAATTTCTGTGCTTTCCGAAATTACACTCGCTTACATGTGTTGTACTTCTTAGGAGTTAGATCAAATAGTGGCATATGAACTGAAGACCGGAGGAGTTCTGCTGCATCCAATATTCGGAGGAGGAAAAGAGAAAGACAAGTATGTTTATTTAAGCCGCAAGTCATTACAGGGTATGTTTTTATGGGGCCATTAATATATGCCTTGGGTGTGTTGTGCGGCATAAGGCCAAAGGCTGAAGAACTTCAGCTGTCCAAGGCATATATTACCAGTCTCATAAAGTATCTTGAGTATATTGTATCACTGTTGTTTTATTTTTCTTTCAATTTAAATCTTGAAGGGAATTAAGTATAATGAATGTTTTTCATACTATTACAAAAATACTTCTTAGTAAGAGGATGAGAGGGAAGATGGAGCCAGAATTTTGGCCTGAGCTATTTCTAGAATGGTTAGTAATCTTTAGGCTTTTTTAGAGTACAGTTAGCTTTTTTTTTCTTTGCTGTTTTTGTGTTCAATATATATTGTGCATTTCTTTGTTACACTTATCTGTTATGATATGTTTCCTGCCAACTATATTTACATTATTGCAGTTTCAATTTACAATAATAAGAATAAAAATTAGATTGGTTGATAATCCTATTTTGAACTAAATTAAAATATGGAAAGAAATAACCGGAAAAAAGTAACTTCTCATATCAATTAACTTCTGCACAGAACAGTTATCGCAAATTCTTTCTGTTCATATGTATTGCAACAGAAACATTGCTCTCCAGAATATTTCTTCTGAAAGAAAAAAATCCCATAGCCTAGGAGAACGAAAGAAAATAAACTCCAGGTTAACACTTCTATAGATGAATGTTTCAAAATCTTCATTACGTTCTCATGTTGTGTTCTTCCTCTCTGATTTTGATTTTCTTCAGTTTTTGTGGTAGCACCATGCTATTGTAAAAATAAAAGCTTCAAGAGATGTTAAATAGATGTATTTCAAGTGGGAGAAGCATATTTACACGGTTAGGATAGGATTAGGATTAGGGTTTTTGTCAAATGATTGACGTGTGTCCAAGAGCATGAGTGTTCTGAATCTTAATGGAAGAACTAATTCAATTTTCACGTTGACAAAGGTTCTAGGCCCATATTGCTAATTTTACTTCTTGTTTGATGATGATAACAGCTTTAAGAATTGAATGATTGATAAAAGGTACAATGGGAAGAAGTACATTACAACTGAATGAACTCTTAAATTCAAATGAACTGGTCTGTTTTGATTTGCTGTTAAATGCTATAAACAGTAACAAAATCAATCAACACTTAGAGTAAATTTAAGAAGGCCAAGAATGTGGTCCTGGCTTGGTTGTAATTTTTAAGAATTTTACCAAGGTCAATCAAGTGAGTATTTTGAAGCTGGACAAATAGTTTTATACCAAGACCAAATTATTATATGATGTCTGAGCCACAACCTCAATTTCCTTCTTGCATTTCAGTGTCATGGTTGCTAACCCTTCCTTATCCTAGAATACAGAAATGTTCAGAATAACAGAACAAGTTAGATATGGAAGACTTCAGTAGTTTCTAAACAGGAAAGAGCAAGTAGTAAACCTAGGCACGTTCTTATTCATATATTCAGTACACCTAGAATGGGTAATACTGCTTAAATTCAGAAATATATATGTTTTTTTAATCTTATGTTTATACTGACATTTGTGACTAAAGCCAAGGAAATCTCCTGTTAAGTAAAAGGATAGGAAAAGAATACTAAGGTGTTTTAACTGTCTTAGTCCTTGCCATCTCCTGAAATCTTAAGAATTGCAGTTAAAAAGACAAGTGCTGGTATTTTGTGCATTTAAAATGCTTCTTTCTGGCATAGAACATTGAAGTGCATGGAAAGATAAGTTAAAATTAAATATACTTGTTTTTTTGAAGATTTCTAGTTTTTTCCAGAGATTGCTGGCATGAAAGATCAAACTTATTCCTGTTGCTTTTGTTCTTTAATTAATTCATTCTGTCTTGCAATGTCGTAAAATCTTTGGACAAATTATCTGAACCATCCTGAAATGGTTTAGTTAGGTGATCTGTAAGTGAGAATCATGGGACAACCCTATTTTGAACTCAGGAATGTTAAGTAGCTGCTATTTTCTATATTACAATGGCTAATTTGTCATTCTCCATCAGCCAACATAAAATAGGTCTGGATTCCTTTTTCTTAAGAAGTTGGCCTGATGTAGCATGGGTCCATTTCTGAAGATGTTCGTTATTAGTTCATAAAAAAAAAAGTTCAAATGTCAAGCACAGTAAAATACAGTTTCCTCAACTTTGGTTCATCATTAAAATAAACTCAGACTTACCTTCTCAAATAATTGAAAAGGGGCAAAAAGGTCTTATTTTTCAAGGGAGGTACAGTTACTCTTCTACTTTGAAACTAGACTATAGGTCTGCTTATGTTCTGAAAGGTAAAACTTCAAAACACCCTAAAATAGATTTTTTGGTGTTTTATTGCTCTACAGCCACTAAGTCCTATTTCAAAAAGTTTCAGGATTTCACTGTTTGTCTTCTGATATGGAATGGAGTTAAATCATTTGAAATATTTTGCTTATAGACCCAAATGGTATGTATGAAGGAGCACCACAGAAAGTTCAAGTTATGGAAACAGTGTGGCAGTGCTAACATGATGTTTTGCATAGCCTTCTTTGGCATGAGATCTAATTTAAAAGGCATCCATTTTCCGAAGTATTGAAAGCATAATGTTCCTAACAAAAATAAAATAATTCCTTTGGCTCATCATGTAAAAGTCTGCTATGAATCTTAAAACTCCTCCTCTTCTTTAATTACAGCAATTGTTTACTTGATTGTGAATGTTAGTATTTTGTACTTACTTTTAAATGGAAGTGGGACAGGTAGAATGTCAAGTCATGAGTAGTTTCCAGACTCAAGTCACAAATTCCCTGCTGTGTTTTTTCACCCCATCAGTGTCTTTCTGAGAAGTTACAGTACAGCTTGCATTACTTGTCTATACAATACTTACTCGATTCCAGGTATGTGCACCCCTGCAACCTTTCTGTAGAGTCATTTTAAATGTCTTAATTAATAGTGTTAAAGCAATAGAAGAGATCCTAATGGTTGCTTTACCTGTAATTTTTGTTGCTAATAAGTTTTTTTAGTTTTCTTTCCATAAAACGCAAAACAGAATGTTAGTTTTTTTTCTTGTTATTTTTCAGCCCTGCATCACACTTACATTTTTCTATTAAACACCCTCATACCTTGTCCTGGGAATATTACACTATGTTCCAGTGTAAAGCACATCTTGTCATGAGACTGATTGAGAATAGGATCAGCATGGAATTTATGTTACAGGTCAGTATTTAAATGTTTTTGTGACATATAGAGAACTTCCTGTCTTTATTAATGGCTTCTATTCATAAAATGGAGATTAAAAAAGATCACATCAGTTTATGATAGGATTCCATTTGTATTTTTAATTTCGAAAGTATAGAACAAATATAAAATTGGTAGAATAAGGTTCACTGTTAACTTTTATGTGTAATTAGTAATATTTTTAATATATTGCTTATTCTCTTAATATTAAGTATTCCTTTTCTTTGGATTGTTGTGACTGATTATAACACTGAAAACCTGTTTTACAGACTCATAGCTGTGAGTTGATGTAATCAAATTATAAATAAAGTCATGAGAGTCCAGCTTCTGTTCTTTCCACTATATATATTGTCCATGCTAGGGGGAGCAGAAATCTTCATATTAGAAGAAACAGTGGAATAGAAAACATGTAGTTTTTCTTGGGTTTTTGGTTAGGTTTTTTTTTTAATGTTTTGTGATTATCTTAAAAAAGAGATTGCTACAAATACCCAACCAGGTGACACTTTTTCCTGTCAGTTTCAGATGCAGGTTTTTTTTTTTTTTTTAAGCATAACTTGTTTGTGCATCTGGTAAAATATGTCAAACCTGTCAATTTCATATATATTTTTGTTGTCCTCTTTTTTGTGTTTTAATAAAAATACTAATTAGAAAAGGAGTTTTGTTACCTTATACATTAACTATATTATATATTTTTGATGTGACCAATGATGATTTCTCTTCACTCAATGCAATGCAAGCAGACTGAAGGGTTGGACACCCATGTGCTGAAAGCTATTAACAGCAGCTGTTGTCAGGCTGAAAATATAGGAGATTGAAAGCTTTCCTTAAAAAAATTTAATAATATTAAAAAAAAAAAAAGATAGCAAAAAGGTAAATGAAGAACCTCATTAATGCTTAGTTTCTAAAAAGCAGATATATTCCATGATCTGTTTTACTGTAGATAATTTTGGAAAACGTATGGACTCTTCCTAAATTTTACATTAAACCATACATAATAAAGCAGCATGTGACATGCCAGCTTAAGTTAGGGAACAAACAGGAATCTCCTAGAAAGCTGCTTAGCATACTCATTAACCTCTACATTATGGTTTCATATTTTTTTGGAAGCCAGGTGATGAGGTGTTTTTTTTTTGTATTTAGTTCTAGTTTATTTGCACATAAACAGGAAAGAAAAGCTTATTTTGTGCATTAAGGTGCTCAATTAAAACAATACCTTTTTTATCATTTTAGGTTTTCAACAAGCTGTTGAGTCTGGCTAGCACTGCTTCATCTCAGAAGTTCCAGTCACACATGTGGAGTCAGATGTTGGTTTCCACATCTGGGTTTTTGAAATCTATCTCAAATGTCTCTGGCAAGGACATTCAACCTCTAATAAAGCAGTGGGTGTATCCTTTTTATTCTTGGTCTGGATTGTTAATATTGAGAATGATTTTATTTTTTTTTTATTGGCACCACTAAAGGAATGTGAAGGAAGGTATTTCATATCTTTAAACAGTTAAGTACATTATTCTTTGAATTAGAAATAGATGCGAGACCCAGGATCACTGTCCTTTTGTAGTCATTCAGCATATGCTATCATTTGAGGTGTTCTTTACCATAAGGGATTGCTGTGATTTTTATTTTGAAAGTAGCACGAGAACTCTGGTGGAATTTAAGGCCAAATTATACTAAAGGGATTCCAGAGGACACTGCCCATAGAAATATGCTGAAGTCTGACATGGAAAATGCTATAGTCTGGTGCACTTTTAGATGTGATTTCCAGTAAATCAGCATGGAATGAGTAACCTAAAGCACAGATTAATAGTTTAATGCATTTAATAGCTTGGTAGCTTGTGTTAGTCCAAAATCGGGTAGAATAAAACTTTAATTGTTCATTTTTCAAATGTCTGTCATACTAATCAAGAAATAGAGTTTCTTGTTTTAGATTGTTTTGAGGGCAAATTTGAATTTGCTTTATTTAGCTGGTTTCATTGGGAGTTTTAGTTATTGTGGCAATAGGTTAAAATGGTACATGACTTCAGCAAAGCCATGTTTTATTGTTAAAACAGAAAGTAAAAATAACTGCTTATCTTTAGATATTTTAATGGATTTTCACCACCAATAGCATCCATGCATCTGTATCTAACTAAAAATCAGTGTAAAAGTAATATCTGTAGAATAATCATCAAAAGTACACAAAATACAAAAATATTATTCTAACGTTCATATTTTGATGTGCCAAACACTTGAGGAAAGTAGATATTTTATCTCTGTGCACTGAAACTACACCTATGCCTAAATGTCAGCATTGTTATCTGAAGTAAGTGGATCACATGCAGTCACCTTGCAGCCTTCGCTTCTCCAAGCTGAACAACCCCAGCCCTCTCAGCCTGTCTCACAGGGGAGGTGTTCCATCCTTCGGATCACTTTTGTAGCCACCTCTGGCTGCACTCCAAAATGTCTCTCTGTCTTTCCTATACTGAGGACTCTACATCTGGATGCAGTTCTCCAGGTGAGGCCTCATCAGTGCAGAGCAGAGGGGCAGGATCACCTCCCCTGCCCTGCTGGCCATGCTTCTTTTGATGCAGCCCAGAATATGATTGGCTTTCTGGGCTGTGAGGGCCCATTGTTGGCTCATGCCCAGCTTCCCATCCACCAGTACCCCCAGGTACTTGACAGGGCTGCACTCAACCCTTTCATCCCCAAGCTTGTAGTAATAACTGAAGAGTATCATAGAATCATAGAATTCCTCAAGTAAGAAAAGACCTTAAAGATCATCAAGTCCAACCACAACCTAACCATACAATCCTAATTCTAACAACCCTCTCCTAAATCATGTCTTTGAGCACCACATTCAAACAGTTTTTAAACACATCCAGGGATGGTGACTCAACCACCTTCCTGGGGAACCTATTCCAATGCTTAACAACCCTTTCTGTAAAGAAGTGTTTCCTGATATACAACCTAAACTTACCCTGGCACAACTTGAGGCCATTTCCCCTCGTCCTGTCACCAGTGAGAAGAGACCAACCCTGCTCTTCCTGTAAGCACCTTTCAGATGTTGGAAGAGAGCAATAAGGTCTCCCCTCCGTCTCCTTTTCCCCGGACTGAACAGCCCCAGTTCCTTCAGTCGCTCCTCAAAATTATATTAAAACATTTCTTAGTGAAATTTCTGAAGATCTCCTTGGTTCATTTATCTGAGACTATATCAAAGATGTGGGAGTGTGGGGGAGTCTGATGTTGTTTTTTTTTCCGTTATTACTGTTTTGTTTTGTTTTAATAGTTTTCATTTTTTTTTAATGTTGTACAGGAATGTACATTAAAAATCTTTTTAAAGCAAAAAAAGTAAAAAATTCTTATGAAAGAAATATGTTTTCATTTCCTGATTTTCTTGGGCTTGGAAATTCTAGGAGTAAGCATAAAACAAGTGTAAAAAGTAAGTGAAAAGTTTGAGAATCGTATTTATAGCTATTGCATTATGCTGTAGATTTCCTATACTGCTTTTCAGAGATCAGAGCGGAGTGGTCAAATTTTATGGTAGCTTTGCATTTAATAGAAAACGAAATGTTTTGGAATTGGAAATAAAACAAGACTACACATCTCCTGGGACTCAGAAATACGTGGTAAGGTCAATTTTCCGTATTGTACCTATACACTTCACTTAAGTATCATGGGGACAATAAAAGGTGTTATTTCTAATGTTACTAATCTTTTCAACTTTAAGGGCCCTCTTAAAGTGACAGTTCAGGAACTTGATGGATCATTTAACCATACATTACAGATTGAAGAAAACAGTCTTAAACACGATATACCTTGCCATTCTAAAAGCAGAAGGTAAGGATTAAAAATTACTTGCTGTTTATATGTGCTAGCATAGATAAATAAAAATGTCTAGGGCATTGAATTCTGTAAAGAACTTGTTTGTGTGGGTGAAGAAGTTGAAGGCTCATGAAACTGTTCAAAATGCTTTTGATTGGGGTGCCTCGCCTGGGAGGATCTTCGTTCATGAAAAATATGCGTAGTTTTCAGTTGAGTCCCAAGGCTGTTCATTAAGCCTAATAAGCAAGGAAAATAGTGTACTTTCTATATGGATTCTCGGTTTCTTGATACATTTTAATAACTACCTTGGACTGTACTTTGTTTATTTGATGTGTACTTCTTAATGCTGTGGGAGCTGAGTTCAAAGCAACTAGAATGTATTGATGACTACTTTCCAAACAAAACTAATGCACAGCTCAGCTGGTTTTTATGTGTGTTGGGGAGAGCATTATTTTTTGGTGTGGTAAATTACATACAATACTTCAGCATTTTTAAGCATATCTTATCTAGCATGATAATTTTTTGAATCTCCTTTTTTGTTGATTACTTTCCCATGTTTTTTTAAATAGAAATAAGAAGAAAAAGATTCCACTGATGAATGGAGAGGAGGTGGACATGGACCTTTCTGCTATGGAGTAAGTTTGTTTGCTGATGTTTCTCATTGTGAGACAGATCCTTGTTCCTGCTGTGTGTTTTTTGAAGAATTAGATAGTAAAGTTGTGCTTCATTATATGACTGGCAGATTTCAAGTCATAAGTCAGATCACTTGTTGGACCTGGATAAAGAATATTTAACTAGCACTAAGATAGACAAGTTCCTGACTTCTTTGACTAATTTAAAAAAAATAATAATTTTAGTTTACAAATGAGTGGTGAAATGCTTCATACTGAGAAGAATCTGCTGGGTGAGGTCAGTTGAAAACATTTAGCTCTATGGAAGCAAATTCTTGCTCAATGTAAATACTTGTTTTACCCTTCTAGATTTGAAGCAATGTTGCTTTCAGAGGCACTGAAGGTGTTGACAGTTTGTTTAGTGGCTGATCAAAGTAGACTCTTTTCATGGAAACTAATGGTGTCTCATTGAAGCAGAGCAGTTTACTCTTTGAATTATTGCTTGTAAGATAAACCTCATGTAAAATAGGAATAATTTTATAGGGAATCGTTTCACTGCGCAAATTGCTCTTATAAGTTCTATATTAACAATAGACATCTGAATAGATTTTTAAATTGTATTTAACAGCCTTTAGCATTAAGTATTGGTAACTTGATTTTGTGTTCAAGTTATCTAGTATATTGTACTTAGATCCTAATTATCTTCTTAGAACTGCCTTTGAAAGGGCATATGACTTTATGCAGGTCACTTAATCTGTTAACGTTCTCAGCTATGACAGCTTTGGTGTCTGAGGACAAAGGTTGAAACGTATTGAGATTACATAGTAGTTGGTTAAAAATAATGAAATGCGGCATACACTGACATGTTTAGGATTTGGAGAGTTGCCCTGGGAGTCTGTAGAATTGCCATCTTAGGAGCAGCAGACTGGATGAGGTGACTTTCAAAAGTTCCTTCTAACCTTAATTCTTTTACAGTTCTTGGGCATTTCAAATATACTTAGTAATTTGAAAATAATTCAAAAATCAAAAAATCTTTTGACATTCTACAGCCTTGAAATGTTGTAGGCTATTAACATTTTTCATGTCTGTCTTAGTGCTGATTCCCCTTTGCTCTGGATAAGAATAGACCCTGATATGTCGGTACTGAGGAAGGTAGAATTTGAACAATCTGATTTCATGTGGCAGTATCAGCTTCGATATGAGAGAGATGTGGTTGCACAAGAAGAAGCCATTCTGGCATTGGAAAAGTTCCCTACACCAGCATCACGACTTGCACTGACTGATATACTAGAACAGGAACAGTGCTTCTACCGAGTGAGAATGCTAGCCTGCTTCTGCCTTGCAAAGGTGAGGTTGTGTGGATGGGTATAGGAAAGAAATCTGCTAGACACTAAAGGATTTGAAAATGGGTCAAAATTCACCACAGTACTTAAATTGGCTTGATTATGTAGCCTCTTAAAAACGTTTGCCAGGTATTTTTAACTTGACTGATTTGAAAGGAAAGCGGTATTATTTTAGTCTGTAAATGGAGACTGCAGAAGGCTTTCATAATTGTTAAAATTGAGATGTCAGACATGAAAACCACAAGAGATTTTTCCAGATTTCATTAAGTGGCAGAAATAAAAGACTTCTATTTAATATTTTTCAGAGCCAAAATACATTATTTTTTTTTTGTTTTACTGGGTAGTTCCTTGGCTTCTCTGTTGAGAAATCTGAAGTTCTGAAATTCATCTGTCTGTCTTACGTGAATTCGGATTCCTGCTCTGTATTGTGTTAAGTTGAACAGGGCACAAGATAAATACAGTGTTGGTCTGCAATTAAATATTCAGCAGCCTGATAGTAGCCTTCCTTGAAAAAGGAAGATATTTTTTGTTTAGATACAAAATTAACATTAAGAATTTAAAGTAGAGATCCTTATAAAACATCTGGAAAAGAATAAATAAGAAATATTGAAAAGGCACATTACTGGCGTAACTTACTGACATACTTTTACTGACACAGAGGCACACTAACTGATAGTTTCTAGAGGTTGGTTTGTTGCTGTATAATGTTCTTTCTGCTGTATACTCGTATCGAAATACACACTTTGGCCATATTTTGAAAGTCAGAATCCAATAGATGCTTGATAGTATATTTTAATATCATGAAATATTGATGTACTACTACCAGTTTTTGTGTTAGAATCAATACTGCTGCTACCTGACTTAAAATATGTGTATTTCATAATTAATTCATTTGGAATATCTAGAAGTGTGGATGCCTTCCACAGGTGAATATTAAAAGAACAGTTGTCAAAGTGTTGAAATTCAGTGCGTCTTTACATTGAAATCTTTTGCATTTCCCTGCAGATAGTTGTATTTCTATGAAATTTGTATGAAATTGTAGTCTTAGAAGAAAAAAGCAAATAAAACAGCTGGGGACTGGAGGTAAAGGTGGTTGACTCACAGATAGAAATGGTTAAAATTAGTGAGAAGTATGGCTATGATAGTAAATCAAGGTGAGGAGGCATGTAAGGATGGGTAGGACTGTAGATAGACTTGTCCAAGCTACCTTGAAGGAAAACGTGATGCATTCTGTTAATAGCTCTACCATCAGGCTACTAGCAAGAATTGCTTCCTATTGACTCAGTTCAATTTTCAAGTATAGAAACTTTCAGAATTTCTAATGTTTGCTAGGAAAAGTCAAATCTTTCATTCTTTACCAGTGAGAAGTTTCTTTTTCTTATTTTGCAGCTTTTGGCTGGATTGTCGTTACTTTTCTGAAACATTCTAGGGGAACGTACATAGATACAGGAAAATGATAGGTGATAATGCAGTTATAAAACCAAATTTATTGCACTTTCTATATGTGCTGCATGCTTCGTTGTAAAACAACACTTCAATCAAGTATCCAGATAATATAATTAAATCCTCATTGATGGAGCAAATACATGTGTATGCGAGCATGCAAAAGATCACACACTGCTGAGTTGTTCATGGCAAATGATCCTACAGAGAAAGGTGAAAGTAGAGATGTTATGATATTAATATCAAGTCATAAGCAGGCTGATTTATCCACCTGTAGGTTGTGGTCTGCTGCAGTGCTGGGATGTGCTGTGAAGTTTAAAAACAACCACCAACAAAATAAACTCCCAACAATGAGGATTTCCAGAGCCATTCATGATAGTTAGTTTTTAGGTGAAATAAATAGCCAGATTTTGTGTGAAAGATGCAGAAATAGAGTTAAAATGGTGATTTTACTACTGTTGATTTAATTTGAAAATACCATTCTTTATTTGGATATTTTGCAGCATGAACCTTTAAGAATTGGAAAAAAAATCAATAGACCACTTGTACCCCAATTGTAATGAATCAGGAATGTCTTATAAACGCAGCAGTCTCTTGTAATATTTTTTGTTTACATTTTTGTTTGCAGTTATAAGTTTGTCATCATGGTTTCTCAGTAGCCTTTGTGATTAAGCTTCCTCTGTGGGAAGTTTTGTTATGCACGTTGTAAGAAAAGCTACACGTGTATCTGTAGCTAGAGAACTTCTGTTTTTGCAAAAGGACTGCACTGTTTTATTTCCTTTAGCTTTCCTTTAAAGGAAAGGAAAGGACTTATAAGGAAAATGTCTTTAATAGTAATGCCTCCATCTTACGTAGGAGAGATGGTGATACTGATTGCTACCCATCTTCAAGTAACCACTTGCTTTTCTTACTGCATGTGTAATACCCTGTGGAATGAGATTACCTAAATTGGAAGTAAATAGTCAAAATCATTTTTCCTCTGTGTGAAAACATGTTTTTCCTTAGTTTGTGGAGAATTTGAAACAGTGGTAAGTTCTTAACTGTATGATGTGTTGGTCCCATTTGTTAACACACTCACCATGCTCAGACACTCTTCTCTGCACGCTTTCATTTCACAAATACGCAAACCTCAGGGTGTTGGGAAGGCATATAATGACAGTTTGTCCTTGTAGAACTTCTTTATCTCAGAACAGATGATAGCACTAGATTTATTTGTCTCAGTACATTGTTTGATTGCAAATTAAAATTAAGGCTGAATGGCATTTGCAGTGTTCAGAAGGTGTCTGGGTGAGGTGCTACAAGATATGGTTTGGTAGCTTAGTGGGTACTAATGGTGATAGGAGGACAGTTGGACTAGATCTTGTAGGTTCTTGTGATTCTATGATTCTGTAGTAACTAACTTTCATTTTTCTTTAGGGGTGGTCTTTTAGTCTTAGAGTGGCTAAAGCCTAGTTGAAGTCTAGGCTGAGGTTACTGGCAGGGTGTATTTGGGATGTTGGTATTGTAAAAACCTCTTCCATCACTGGGTTCTGTGGAGTCAGAAAATTTGGCTTAATAAAAACAGAATATTCATCTAAATAGAAAAGATGAAATAATTAAAAACAGGAGTTTGTCATGGAAAGGTGTTTAGATGCAGACATCTTCCAAGTGAAACAACTGCCTAAAAATGTACATTTAATGTAGAGAAGATGTATTGGGGATGGCAGGGTAAACTTAGCTAATGTAATATAATATATTGTTGAAAATATGTTTGTATTTGAAGGGCAGTACATTCCTGGCAATTATTATTTCTTATTTGGGGAAATTTCTATTTCTTTACAGCCAATTTAAACTTACAGCAATGATGGTAATGTGATTTCCCTTTCCCCTAATTATATAGATTGCAAATTCCATGGTAAGTACATGGACAGGACCACCAGCCATGAAGTCACTCTTTACCCGAATGTTTTGCTGTAAGACTTGTCCAAACATTGTGAAGACCAACAACTTTATGAACTTTCAAAGCTACTTTCTGCAAAAGGTAAAATTTGTTTTTCCACTCTTTAAATTAAATGTCAAAAAGAAAATGTTCCTATGGAGGATGACTGCTGGAACATGAATAGCACAGTCTCACTTTGCTTTCGTTAAAAGTTGAAAATAACAGTTCTTTCCTATTTGATATCCTTTTCTTCCATCTTCATTAAGAACTTCTTAGCATTTTTCTCTGAACAGCAGCAGTTAAATTAGCAATTTCTTCAGAAGATTATAGTACGCATAATAATTAGTTGTAAATATTTGAGTTAGTTCTTAAGTAGAATGTACTGCACAGTAACAAAGCTAATCATCAGGATGATCAGAGGGCTGGAATGCCTATCTTGTGAAGATAGGTTGAGGGAGATGGGCTTGTTCAGCCTGGAGGAGAGAAGGCTGCAAGGAGACCTCATTGCAGTTTTCCAGTATTTAAAAGGGATTATAAACAGGAGGGGAATCAACTTTTTGCAAGGGTAGACAGTGATAGAACAAGGGAAAATAGCTCTAAGCTCAAGGAGGGAGGGTTTAGATTGGATGTCAGGGGGAAGTTCTTTACAGAGAGAGTGGTGAGGTGCTGGAACAGGCTGCCAAGAGAGGCTGTAGATGCTCTGTCCCTGAAGGTGTTCAAGACCAGGTTGGATGGGGCTCTGGGCAGACTGGTCTAGTACCAGATCTGGAGGTTGGTGGCCCTGCCTGTAGCAAGGAGGTTGGAACTCGGTGATCCTTTGAGTCCCTTCCAACCCAAGCCATTCTATGATCTGCTCTTGTAGGTGAATTTGTCAGCCATCTTCATTAATGGCATTGATTTCATTATGCAAAAAAAATCTTATAAACTTTAACTTAAATTGGTGGCCTTTTTAATTCAAGGCACTATTTAAATCTTCTTTCTGCCTCCTTTCCACTCATTGTCAGCATCATGCTGCTGCTGCAGATTCTTTTCATGTTATGCACTTTTTTTTCCTGAGATGTGTAGTTAGCAGTGTACAGTGAGTAACAACTAAAACAAATGACAGTGGTTTTTCTCTCAAAGCTAACTTTATAATTACTGGATGATTGAATTCTTAGTTCACCAGTATCATATTACTGATCAGAGAAAACTTAAATTTTATTTCTCTGTCCAAAACTGCTTCATCCTTTTCCCCACCCTTCTCTTTTTTGAACATCATTTGTCATCTTCTGCTCTTTTTCTCATTGTTCATTTTCTCCCACTACAGTCTTAATGCTTTTGTCCCTTAGATTTTTAATTTCGTGTTCTAAATTTATAGTTCCATGATAAGATTCCTGAAACTATTTGAGTGGATTCTAAAAGAAATATCTGGTGAGATTAATACCTATTTGTCTAATAATTCTTTAGGCACCACTGACTGTACTGGGTCTCTTGATCGTACATATCAGGCATAGACACCAGGTTCACACATAAACACTCAACTTGGATGTCAGTCTCAGAATGAATTTCACCATTTTCTTTGTTTTATTATTTTCCATTTCCTACCTTTTAGACAGTGCCTTGAACTGAGTCATTTCTTGCATGTATGACTTTTTCTGTCTGCTCTGTGACTGATTATTGAGCAATATTTGCATTGCTTTTTGAACTGAAAGTTATGTAGCATATGGTAAGTCTTTCAGAAAGAAATTTTTGTCAGAGATTTGTTTCTACAAATCTAATTGCTTGTTTTCAGGGTGTAACTGTCATTTCACTGTTGTAAGAATGATATTAGTATTAATTTTATTACACAGACTATGCCAGTCGCCATGGCCCTTTTGAGAGATGTTCACAACCTCTGTCCTAAGGAGGTTTTAATGTTTATTTTGGATTTGATCAAGTATAATGATAACAGGAAGAATAAGGTAAGGAATGTGTTTATTTTACTCTCTCACTTTTTTTTTGGAGAATCTTAAAGTTAATACACTGCATGATGTATTCTGCCACTAATGTAAATACTTAGCTAGGAGAGTTGATAAAAGGTGATATGCTAAACTAAACAGTACGTTAAAGAAAATTCTGTGGCTGACGTGTGAGGTGACATTTCTTGGTTGTTTCTCTTGGAGAAAGCTCTGTGCTTGTTGACTTATTATGGATCTGCCTGTCTTCATTTGGACACGTACTGGTTTTTGTTTTTTGTTTTTTTTTGAGAAAATGTGTACGAGGGTTAACATTTTCTGCATGAATATAGCATTGGATGTTAAGCACTTTTGAGAAGAATGTCTAGAAGAGCTAGGAAATAATCTTTTGTTAATGGTATGCAGAATGACTTACATCTAGTTAAATAAAAGGTGAAGCTCATTTTAGTGTTGTTTCATCACTAAACCCTGAGTTGAAAGTATCATCTTAAGTTCCTTAGCGTATAGAACACATCTAAAGGATGATCCTTTAAGATCCTAAGATAAGAGGTTCCACGTCCCTAGTTTAAGAGTACACATCTGCAAGAATGATTCCAAAGTAATCTTTGGAGTTAAGTACCTGATGTTTAGTGGAGCAGGCCTGAAGCCTCTTAAGACTTAGCCTTCTGGTGTGTAGAGGCCAGGAGTACTGAAATAAGAGGATGATAGAAGGTGGAGAGGTACAGTTCAGACAGGATGTGCTGAGTTGTACCAATGTCTCTCTACCACCAAAGGAAATATCCCACTTCACTTTTCCTTATGTCCCTTCCAAGCATACGTTAGAAACCTTTTGCTGTATCTGTCACTCTTTGACTTGCTTAGGTTAAATTAGCTGATATGCAAACTCAGTACTTCATTCTGCTTTTATAATTTTTATTTCTTTTTATAATTTTTTTTCTGTACTCTTGTTGTTTAGTAAATTGATGTGACCAATAAATGCCACAGCTAGCACAAGGGAAGGGCTTGGAACTGTGAGCTTGAGAAAAGGAGCAAAAGCAGAAGCAAGATTTTCCTTACTAAGCAGAGGCATCAATTAGTTTGCTTTAGGAGCTCTTGAAGTGGCTGCTTATATAAACCCTCTGATTTTCAGAGATGTGGGGCAACAATTAACCTTGATAACCTTTGTACTGAGTAGAAAGAGAGGGAAGTAGTTATGGGTGCTTATGTTTAGAAAGAATTACTTTTATTTCTAAATCTGGAAAATTTTCAAGACTTGACTTTTCAATTTTTGTAAAGCAATGTATTACTATTAATATGGTTGTATTCCCGAGTGAAGTTTAATGTCATGTAAAATAGTTTATCTGCTTGCTCGAACTCAAGTCCATTTTTCAGGACAAATTTATTTAACTGTTTTGCTTTCTCACAGTTTGTCACGTGGTTTCTGTTTTAAGATCTTATTCTGTAACAGTGCTTCAACATTATTCAACTTTTTAAGAATGTATTTTGTTATATCTTGTATCTAAATGCTGGTTTTTATCTAGTTTTCAGACAACTACTATCGTGCTGAGCTGATTGATGCCCTAGCCAACTCTGTGACTCCTGCAGTCAGCGTGAACAATGAAGTACGAACACTGGATAACTTAAATCCTGATGTTCGACTTATTCTTGAAGAAATTACCCGTTTCCTAAATATGGAGAAGCTTCTTCCTAGCTATAGACACACGATTACAGTCAGGTGTGGTTTCATAATCACTGAAACATAGAATGGCTTGGGCTGTAAGGGACCTCAAGATCACCTAGTTCCAACCCCCCCCCCCGCAGCAGGCGGGGTTGTTAACCACTAGATCTGACTGCCCAGGAACACATCAAACCTGCCCCAGGGATGGGACATGTACAAGTTCACTGGGCAGCTTGTGCCAGTGCCTCACTAGCTTCTGAGTGAAGAATTTGTTTGTAACATCTAACCTAAACCTCCCCTTTTTCAGTTTAAATCCATTTCCCCTTGTTCTCACATCATCTACTTGTGTAAAAAGTCAGACCCCCTCCCTTCAAATATTGGAAGACTGCAGTAAGGTCACCCCAGACCCTTCACTTCCCCAAGCTAAACAATCCCAGCTCTCTCAGTCTTTTGGTGCTTCAGCTCTCTGAGTATCTTTGTGGCCCTCCTCTGGACCAATAGCTTCACTTCTTTACTATGCTGCAGACCCCAGGCCTGGGTACTCACCCCTCTTTTGATTGAGCCCAGGATACCATCAGCCTTCAAAGCTGCAAGAGCACACTGCTGGCTCATGCCCACCTTTTTGCTCATCAGAACTAATTTTGTTGTACACATACAAGAGAGCAGTCACTACTTTTTTGGTTTTGTGTACTCTTCTGTAGTTATTGAGATTTTAGCTTATATACTTTAGTCTTAAATGGCAAACTTCGCTGTTTCCAAAAGTTGGTAGTTTAGGTTTGTCTTGACTGCTCTGTTGTTCAAGATTAATCTCTATCAATGTAGACTGTTAAGAGCACACACAAATTGATCATGTTTTTGCTTCTTTAGTGAGAAATTTATGAAAATTTTGCAAAAAGCATAATTGTAGCAATATCTATAGTGCATACAACAGTAATCTGAGCTATTTTTTCTGTGCAAGTACAGTTGTATTTAAATCAATCTGAGTTTAACATAGTGAATTCAGTGTTTCTGCCTAACTCAGAGTTACTCAGTGCTGTGTGTTAATACTGTAGAAATAATTGTTGATTGGGGTAACTTAATACTAGAGAAAGACTATACTTTGTGGATGGCATTTTGGAAGACTAATGTAAATTTCCTTTCTTTTGCTCTAGCTGTTTAAAAGCTATTAGAGTGCTTCAAAAGAATGGTCATGTCCCAAGTGATCCTGCTCTCTTCAAGTCATATGCAGAATATGGGCACTTTGTAGATGTCCGAATAGCAGCATTGGAGGCTGTGGTTGATTACACAAAAGGTACCCTTTCATGTATTTTGAGAATTTGTTTGTTGATGTGTTGATAAGAAAGGCTGATAATACAAATGTTACAAAGTTGTGAGCATTGTTTCTCACTGTTTCACAAATTGAATCAGACATCTGAAGTTTTGAAACGTTGAATAGACTGTATGATGAGTAGTGGTAAGGGGTGCTGAGGGGTGCTGCTGATTTCTTTTAACATCATTTGTAGTGGTTTTGATTCAGTTGAGTTCAGCAGTAATTAGTAGTCAGAGTTCTTGGCTTTGCTTTATCTTCTTACTGTTCTTTATTTTTTTTTTCATGTGTGCATTTTATAACTATACATTTTAGAAACTGAAATTATTCTGATGAGTTGGTTTATTCTACCTTGCCATTTGTTATACACAGCCAATGTGAGATGTTTCTGTTTCATAACATGATAAATATAGTTGACTGCTGGAGGTCTTTGGGGAAAAAAAAAGCAAAAAACTAAATAGCTCTCTTGAATGTCATTTTAAAGTTGAATTTCAATCCTGAGAGGTTTCCTAGAGGGAATTGGAAACTAAGGATTTTCATGTATAAAACTAATTAAGTACTAGATTGTAATTCACCAGTCATTCTGGATCTGTAACACACTGTGTATGCACCATTTGATACCCCTGTGAGTGGCAGGACAAGGGAAAATGGTTTTAAGTTGAGGGAGGGAAGATTTAGGTTGGGTATTAGGGGGAAGTGCTTCTATTAGAATAATAGAATCACCAAACTTGGAAAAGACCTCCAAGAATATCTAGTCCAATTATCCACCTACCACCAGTATTTCCCTACTAAACCATGTCCCTTAGGACTGTATCTAAACATTTCTTGAACACCTCTAGGGACAATGACTCAACCACCTCCCTGGGCAACCTGTTACAGCCCCTGACCACTCTTTGCAAGAGGAAATTTTTCCTAAGATTGAAACTGAACCTCACCTGGCCAAACTTGAGGCCATTCCCTCTTGTCCTAATGTTAATCATATGGGAGAAGAGGCTGTCTCCTGCCTCACCATATCCGCCTTTCAGGTAATTATAGGGGACAATGAGGTTGCCCCTGAGTCTCCTCCAGACTTGAACAATCCCAGTTCCCTCAGCCACTTCTCATAAGAATTGTGCTCCAGACTCTTTACCAGCTTCATTGCTGTTCTCTGGACACGGTCTTTCTTGTAATGAGGAGCCCAAAATTGAACACAGTACTCAAGGTGCTGCCTCACCAGAGCTGAGTACAGAAGGATGGTCACCTTCCTGCTCCTGCTGGCAATGCTATTTCTTACACAAGCCAAGATACCACTGGCCTTCTTGGCCATCTGGGAACACTGTGGCTCGTGTTCAGCTGAGTGTCTGTCAACACCCCTACATTAGTTTTCTCAGCACAGTCTTACAGCTACTCTGCCCCAAGAGTATTCAAGAGTAACAAACCCATTGTCTGGGTTTGTTGTCGCCAAAGTGAAGGACCGGGCAGTTGGTCTTGTTGAATTCCATTCCATTGGCTTCAACCCAGCTATCCAGTCTGTCCAGATCCTTCTGTAGTGCCTTCCTACCCTCAGGCAGATTAGCACTTCATCCCAGCTTGGTGTCATCTGCAAACTTAATGCCTTTATCCAAGTCATGAGTAAAGATAATAAATGGGACAGGCCCCAATACCAGCCCCTAGGGAACACCACTTGTGATCACTCACCAACTGGATTTGACTCCGTTCACCACCGCTTTTTGGGCCTGGCCCCCAGCCAATTCTTTACCCAGCAAGGAGTGTATGGGTATGCAGCATGGGCTGCCAGCTTCTCCAGGAGAATACTGTGGAGACAGTGTCAAAGCTTTACTGCAGTCAAGGTAGACTACGCCAATAGCCTTTCCCTCATCCACCAGGTGGGTCACTTATCACAAAAAGAGATGAGGTTGATCAGGCAGGACCTGCCTTTCACAAACCCATACTGACTGGGCCTTATCACCTGGTTGTCCCACAAATGCCATGTGATCTCACTCAAGATGATCTGTTTCATAACCTTCCTGGCATCAAGGTCAGGCTCACAGGCCTGTAGTTCTCCAGATCCTCCTTACAACTCTTCTTGTAGATTCACACTGGCAAACTTCCAGCACACTGGGACCTCTCTGGTTGACCAAGACCATTGATAAATGCTAATTATTGTGAAGTAATATATTATGTAATATGTGAGCTGATCAAAATGTGATGAAGTGTAAGTAAGGTATGGTAAGTTGCCCAAAATACTCTACAGATACAGGACAGGAGAACTTGAATGGTAAAAAAATCGTAGAAAGATTACTTGAAGAAATTGAGCTAAATGGAAGTTTTGACTGAGCTTGCTGTGAGGTCTGGAAATAATGGGCTATAGAATTCCTGGCTCTGTACTACCTTACCAACAACTTCTGATGAAGAGATAGCAGAGATAAATAGATATATTGACTTTGTGGCAGATAATTCCCAACACAGCCTACTATCTTAACTGACTGTTGGTGTTGTTTCTCTATTACAGCCTCAAATAAAACCAAACTTAGTCCTTGCTCCTCTTTTTAGACTAGGTAGCTTTTGGTGTAAAAGTAACTCTGAAAGCTCAGTGTGCTAACAAAATCCAGCTACCCATGTAGAAGTTAGAAGGGTTTGTCTAGCAAGGCCCAAAGTCTCTGGCTTTGGAAGAAGAAAGGATGGGCCATCTTGTGCCAAGATGTCTGATTCTCGTCATTCCTGGTTACCTGGTTTCCAGTTCATACTGGATGTGAAACAGCAGCTATCAAATGCCTGTTGCTTGTGCCAAAGCTGCCTTTTTAACAGTTTGTATAAAGGGAGCAGACCGATTTTGTTATTTCCATAAAAAGAAAAGTCTGTATTTTCTGGGGCAGTGTGGAACTCCCATGTTTTTCTATCAACTCTCAGGGCAGAAATAGCACTGCTTTTTTTTTTTTTTTTTTTTTTCAAGTTACTTTAAAAGAAATAATTTCTCCATGGAACAGAAGAAGTTGTTTTCTTTGCTGTTAAGAGTAAGTTTTTTCTGAGACATGGTAACTCTAAAATGCTTGAGGCAGCATATAAGGACTTGGGCAGTTAATCTAAACTTGAAGTGAACAGATTTTATTAACATTTTTAAAGGTAGCTTTTGATAATTCAGTGACTATTAGCTGTTATATATATACTTCTAAGAAGTTGCATATTCTAAGAGGTAACAACAAACTGTTCTCAATAAATATCCGTGACTACCCAATTGCATGAATGAAAATTTCAAGTCTCATAGGTGCTCTGCTGCAACTGAGAAACTGACATCAGGCTAATAAGATTTATTTTCCTGAAGATCAGGTTAAATTTATCACTGCTCCTCAAAATGTCATATTGCTATACAAATTTGAGGAGTAGATTAAAAGTGTTAGTAACAAAGCTTTGGAAGTCTAGCAGGCCTGCTTTGTAAGGCAAATGTTAAAGAAAGCATACTGTATTTCAAGCACAAGAGAAGTCAAAAAAGACTTCTCTTACCACAAAGCTATTGTGCTTCTTGATTCTGTTATCCAGTACTATCAGCCTAAAGGATTCGTTCCTAAGTGGCTCATCCTCTTATCACAAACCATTTCAAAATCCTTTTTTTTTTGCAGTTAAAATGATTTCAGCTTTCTTATAATTATGATTTAATGTGTTCACACATGTTTTGTTTTTCTTGCTGCATGGTTATACAATATTATTTTTCTTCCATGCAAAACAACTTCTGTATGCAATGTTCTATCTGCCTCTATTCCAAGCAGGGTAGCTGCCAGGAAAAGCACTGTGCATGGAGTTGAGCACAGGCAGCCTCTACTCCCTTCAAAGCATGTCCTGTGCATAGCTTTTAAAAATTCCCCAGATTTTTAAGGCAAATCTGCCACTGTGGTCCTGGTCTGTTCAGATGCATCATTCAGAATCAACCCAAACTGCCTAACTGTGATCTGAATGGTGCAGAATATGAGCTAGTAAATCCCATTTAGAGGCAGAGAATAACAGCCTGGTCCTATCCCTTCAGTGTAAGCAGTTCTGTTGTGGCTGAATTGCAGGAAGAGCAGAGCTAACTTTCAAGTTGCCTGCTAAAGACTCTTTAGCAAAGATTTAAACAGTTTAAATAAGATGACTCTGTGTCAGGCAGCATTTTCTAAGAAGCATATGCTGATAAGACTCAAAATATATTTTAATTTCAGAGTATGCTGATTTTTAAAAAACTAAGGAGGGTTTCAGAGTATGCTTAGAGTTTTAAGTAAGCCCTGTTGTCTTCCTCTTTCTACCTGGTTTATAGATAATAGTCACTGATTGTTTTGTATAAGAATTGTCTATGTTCTGTGTGGAAAATATAGTGTAGGTTGTTGAAAGGATATTTGGATGTGTTGGTACTGTGCACTTCCTAAAGTAAAGAAGGTTATTTTCTCAGTGATCTTTTTAACCAGCATTCATGACAAAGTCATGTGCTAAGAACCAGAGTTGGTAGTTACTGAACAACTTGGGCATGAAGGAGTTATGTGCATATTTCTATTTAGCTGTGAAGTTAAAAGGTGGTTTACATTTTTTCCTTTGAATTCATTATAATTAATGAATTTTCGGCTGCAGTAATTCAAACCTCTAATGCTAGCTAATACAGGAAGCCATGACCATCTTGTACAAACTTCTGTTTTTTCTGTCTGATTTATAGCTATTTTATTTTATTATTTGCAGTTGATAGGAGCTATGAAGAACTACAATGGCTGCTCACAATGGTTCAGAATGATCCTGTACCCTACATAAGGTTAGTGAATTGGTGTTTCTGCTAATGCTGGAACTACTACATAAATTCTTGGTCAGGACTTGCTAGAATAGATCCAGTGCTTAGCTGCTTGATACTTGACAAAAAACAGTTTATCTCCTTGTTGTTTTACATAAATGGAGTTGCATTTTGGTGTTTCAGCAGTTGACACCTCAGAAGATACTGTACATGGTTCTTATTCTCCCTTATATTATTTTTATCTTTCTCATTCTGTTCTCTTGTGAATATCTGAAGTTAGAAATCATTTCCTAATCATGAATGAATAGACAATTCTGATATTGCATGTGGCAGGAAGATACTGTGATATTTATGCGGTGGTTGAGACATAATACATACAATGCTTTGCCAGCCATGAGTGCAAAGCAATTGTTAGACTGTAGATGGGGTGAAAGGATAACATATGACAATACGGTGTAACTTCTAGTATTTCCTGTTTCAACTTCATTTTCAGCATTGTGTGATTGTATATTATAGCACATTCATTATGAAACTTTTAACATCTCAGTTCATAATGATTCTTCTTCCACAGCACTTACTTTCTATGGTTACAACTATATCAATGAATTTCAGAGATTAAAAGTATTACTTTTTCTCTCAGTTTAGCTGCTCGCTTAATCTTACAACTATGACGTTTTTTTATAATCTATTTTTTTCTATCATTCTTGCTAATAAAAGTAGGTACAGTTCAAGTCACTAGTGAAGGCATAGCTTCAGTCCAGGAAGGAAATTTCATTTTGAGTCTCATTAAAGAGGATTTGGTTTAAATTTTGAAGAGTGCTATGTGTAAGCCTATTCTGAAAGGAAGAAGAAAAAAATCAGAACTAATGGTTTTCTTGTCCTAAATATATAACACAGCATGGGGAAAGCTTCCTATACAGAGAATATAGTTAAAATTGGAACTCACAATTATTATCATTGATAAAATGTTTCTGAGGCTAGGTTTGAAGTGGAAAACTCTATCTGCTTTCAGTTCAAGTGTATAAATATTGTAAATAAATACAGTAAGCATAGAATTTTTATACACCCATGCAACTTAAGAGTGACAGTTTTCTTTTCCAGAAGGGTTTGCAAGTCAATGGTTTTGTTCCTGTCATTTGCATCACAGTCATAAAAATTTAAAATATTTGAAAATCCTTTGATGTCAGTATGAAAGCAGTTTCTTTGTCAGCCTAACTCCAGGTTGTGAGCATGCAAAAAAGACTGTAGTTAAACTGAATGGTGTAATACAGCCTACAGTTTTGTATCTAACTTTAAGAAATGATGTCTAGTAATAAAGTGTTGTTGCGGCTTGCTTTTTGTTTTGAAATTATTGACCAATAAATCTATCTGAGCATGTTGTGTGTTGGAGAAATCTGGTTTGTAAGAACATTGCAAACGGAACAGACTTTGTATTCTTAATGTGTTGATTTGGATTTAATAAAAATCATTTTTATTTTAGGCATAAGATCTTGGATATGCTGACCAAGAACCCACCTTTTACCAAGAACATGGAGTCACCTTTATGTAATGAAGCTTTGGTAGATCAGCTTTGGAAACTGATGAATTCAGGTTGGTTTTCACTTTTTCAGTGTTGTAAGATTGATAGAACTGGAAAATTCAATTTCTGCAGTTCTCATTCACATACCTCCTGAACTTCCTTAGTGACACAGGGTACCAGTGAACATGCTTTTCATTATTTTCTTTAATCCTCTACTGTGCTTTGATACACTTTGGCATAAAATTATTCTTTGACCCAGATGTTCACATAAAATGTTTTCCCAAGCGAAGCTGTATGTTTTTCCTTTTTCTTTACAGTTAGCTGTAGATTAGGCCAAATTCTCAGAGAATATGAGAGGGTATCATTTGCATGGATAATTTATTAGAGGTTTTTAGAAGCGTATTGTGAACCTCAAGCTTAATTTGCCTTCTGTGATTAGGAAAGGTGCTAATGAGATAAGGGTTTACATCTTTACCATTGACCTGTTTTTCATTACTGAAGCAGTTTTATCCAGACCTGACAAACTGCCCGTTAACATCTGTTACATTTCTACAGATTACATATAAACATTTATATAGGTTTTTTAGGTCATTGAAGGCTGTCTGTTCTCTGTGTATCATTATTTTGAGTGTTTAAAAGTTCACAGCAACGCTCTAGGGGCTGAAGCCAGGAGACTACCAGTAGTTCAGTCTTGTAGGATTTGCCAAGTGTCAGGCACAGAAAATAAACAATTTTGATGTTCCCATCAGAGAGTTTGTTTTTCCTTTTTCTTTAGAGAAGAGAGCGTGCAGTGTTTCTTACAACCATTACTTCTTTTCACATGTAACAAGCAGGGTATACATTCTTATTATGATTCCTAGGACTTAAACTACTTAAATTTCTATGTATCACTATGACATAATGTTTCAATATATCATCTGTAAGGCATAAGGTTGGCATTCCAGGGTGTCCAGAAAGGTAATATCAATGTGAGACAAACTAGTAGCCAGGTTTAAAACTGCGTGATTCCACAATTGTGAGTTGTTTTCATTTAAAGTAAGCAAGTACTAGAAAATTGACTTTGATATATGTAGTTTTTTTGTTCTGTGTGAAACATTATCAATTTAATGGAGGTTGCAATTTCTAGTGATTGCTGAGAAATTCAGCAACCAATTTTATTTGATCTTAACTTTTCTCCTGGAAAAGGAGAGAGATACTGTGTGGGAATTCATCACATTTTAAGAAGATTTAGTTTGATTAGTTGAGCACATTATTTAATATTAAAATATTAGAATAGTTTTAACAGTAATATTTGTGAATGTGTCATTCTCTGGAGATTATTTTAATGTTAGAGATGGCCAAATTAATATTCTTGTCACTTTCTCCTTACCCAACTGTTCATGAAACTTAGGAGAATTTCTTGTACGTGGGTTGTGTGTGAACGACTAAACTTACTCAAAACACTGTTTAGGCCCATGAAACACAGTATATACAGGGATAGATCTTACAATTTCATTTTTTGATGTCTTGAACAGCCATATTAACACGGCAGTTGGCACATCTGTGTCTTGTTTACCAGATATAGTTCTATTCCTGCTGTGGAACAGTATGTCCAATAAACTTGCAGTCAGTAAAGAGCTGGGCTGAGTTAGCACTAGCGTGCGTTTGCAGCATTGCACCAGATGTTACTTTCTATTCTGATGGGTGCCAAACGTGCTTTGACCATTTGTGTATGAAGATATAAAGGAGTACAGAGCTTGTTGTGAAAAATAAATCGATAAAGCAACGTATCTCCAATTTGAATACAAAATAAAGTATTGAATATCTGGTGAAGTAAATGACATAATAGTCACTGTAGTCATTAGACATTAAAAATGAGTTCACGTGTTGCTGGTTTGTGCTCTCTATCAGTGTGGTTTTCAGAGGTTACAAATCACTGTCATATTTAAAGCTCGTACTAAATTTCATGGAATGCATAGGCAATTGTAACCAAATCTAGTGCTGTGTGAGACTATGGTTTGGTTTACAAAAAAAAAAAAAAGTTAATTGTCCAATAGTAAAACCTAAAAAGAAACTTTAAAAATAAAAGCATTATGTTTTTCTTTATTTTATTGAAAACACTTAGTTTTCCAGCTAAATATTGAATCTTGTCATATTAAACACATTCATCTTATAACTTACTGCTTTATTTAAAACAGCATCTAGCAGATGAATTTGAATAAACAAAACCTCATTGACCTCATTGCAGCATTTCAATACCTAAAGGGAGCCTACAGAATGGAAGGGGAATCAACTCTTTGTAAGGGTAGATAACTGCAGGATGAGGGGAACTGGTTTTAAGTTTACGGAGGGGAGATTTAGGTTGAAGGTCAGGGGGAAATTCTTTACAGAGAGAGTGGTGAGGTGCTGGAACAGGCTGCCCAGAGAGGTTGTGGATGCCCCGTCCGTGGAGGTGTTCAAGGCCAGATTGGATGGGGCCCTGGGCAGCCTGGTGTAGTATTAAATGTGGAGGTTGGTGGCCCTGCATGTGGCAGGGGGGTTGGAGCTTCATGATCCTTGAGGTCCCTTCCAACCCTGGCCATTCTGTGATTCTGTGAAAAAGAGGCAGGAGTAGTGAGGGAGGTGTGTCTTAGGCCCAGAAGATGTACATACTTTGTTGGATTCAAGTTGCTTTAAACTGTCTTCCTTGTGGCATGGGAGAAGTGTGTACCTTATATTAACAATGATCTCCTCTGGATTTTAGGAACTTCCCATGACTGGAGATTACGCTGTGGTGCTGTAGACCTCTATTTCACACTTTTTGGCCTCAGCAGACCTTCGTGTTTACCACTACCAGAGCTCGGACTTGTTCTTAATCTGAAAGAAAAGAAGGCTGTGCTTAATCCAACGATTATCCCTGAATCAGCAGCAAATAATCAGGAACCTGTGAACGCTGCTAACAATCATGGACAGCCAGTAGTATTTCAGAACACCGTAAGCACAAACCATCTGCATGAGTCTGATTCAGCTGGCTTTAAGTCAATGCATTGGTTTCTGATGTCATTTTGTATTGTGCTCAAGCTGTCTTTGCACCTTGTTGTTCTTTATTCTTTCCACTTAAAAAGCTTACACATTCCATATCTCTTTTGAATTAACTGTTTTGCATGTAATATGCAGACTTCTTGGTATTTTCGCCTTTCATTTGTATTCTTTATGAAACTATTTTTCCTGTATTGTTTATGAGACACAAAGTGGTTCACAGAAATGTTTGATGCTGTTATGAAATTTTTTTAATTAGACTAAGACTATTGCTTATAGGCAAGTTATACAGTTTTCCCAAACAAAATCAGTAATTCTATTACATCTTAAAATACACCTCTTTGTAAACAACTTCAAGAGATAGAAAGTTGGAACTTTAATAGTTCTTCGTGGAACACTTGAATCTGCCTGTGCTCTGAAGGATTTGTAACAACTTCTGAAAAGTTGCATATATTCAGTTTGATATCTTACAGGCTTCTGAGATTTCAGTCCTAACACTCAGTCCATGATGTAGCTGGAAAATGGATCTTACAAGCTGTTCAACTTTTCATTTTTTCAGAATAGTTACCACTATTCTATTTCAGAATAGTTCCTAAGTCTTTTTGTAGGGCAAAGTTGATTAGGAGACAAAAATCCAATGTAAGTGGAAATAAGTAATTTTCTTAACAGTTTCAAATTTCTGTTTGATAGAAGCTGCTTAGGAGTAGATCCTGAAAAAAACATGAACACGTGACTATCACATTTGAAACTACTCTTTCCAGCCTTTTGAATGGGATTTTTTACTATTGCTGTGTTTATAATTATCAATCCCATAGTTCATGTCAAGTATACAGTTTGCAAATTATCATAGTACCATGCCAGATATTTCCAGTAGGGGGAGAAAATGATAATGGAGTCATATCCTTACAGCTATCCTGCTTATTTGTAGAACATGTAATAAGTCTTAAGTTATTACACACACACACACACATCAGAATTAAATAATGGGACATTCTGTTGCCAGATTTTAAGTTGCCGTTCTTTAGGAGTCAGTCAATCTTGATGGGGGAAAAAAAAAAATCCTCTCAATGCTTCTTCTTTGCTTTTCCTTCAGTACCATTTTTACTGCACAGTGAGCTGGATCAGGAGGTGATCTGGTTGAAAAATACTTTATGAATAGATATTTCCTTAGTCCAGTTCATCATGCATTTATGCAAATGCCTGTGGTGGCCCAGGACAGAGACATGTGAGAAGGGGAACGAAGCTCCTTCTTTGAGTGTCACTGCTGGCTTAAACTGGAAACAGAGTGTTAGTATAAGCCTCAGTTCATGCTTCATCCCGTGTATCTTTTCCTTAGCTTCATCTCCAGTCTTCAACTCTGCATAGATGATCATATTAGCACACCTAGAATTGAGTTTCCTCATTAAAAAAGAACAAAGGATTAATGTAAAATAAAGACTGTCTCTTGCATCAGTCAGTTTACTCTGAAGTATTTCACAACAATTATGTGTTGAGTTAAATAGCAGGAATGAAAAGAGGGAAATACCTATAAAAATTAACAGCTGATAGAACACATGAAACTAACTAGATTCCTTAAAGCAGTGTATTGTGTACATTTTGAGAGCACAAATGAGTTAAAATCAGTGCTGACAGGTTGTTTTGATCTTGAATGTGCTGGGGATCATAAGAGTTACCTGCTTCATAAAATTCAGTTTCAGTTGCTCAGGGCAAGAATTTTTGGGGTACCCTATGTATAACAGAGAAAAGCAGTTCAGCTGAACAGCCCATGCTCTTTAGAGTCTATGATATGGCTTTTATTTAGCTTTTAGTGGGCTTTTGATAATGCTTACTTCTACAGATACTTATTTTTAATTCCCTATTTTGTGGATTAGACTTGTTGGAACACCTGTCTCCTGTTCTAATGACTATATGTCTAATTTATTAGACTCTCCTGTTATTTTTATATTCCTCTGACCCTCATTCTATTGCTTATCCTAGCAGTAATTAACAAAAAAATTTTTTTTTAATAACTCAAAAAATAGCAGGTTATTATTACTTATTCTGACTTGTATTCAACAAATAAAGCATTTGTTTTTAAAGCAAATGAGAAGAAGATTTAGCAAAATCCCACATGTAGGTGAGAGGCTGTCACAGCTTTTCAGCAGAGATTTGGAATGAGGAGAGACTACGAGGCACAGATTTATAGAAAGGCCATTCAGAAGCAGCGAATGTTGTTGCACACCAACAGTACCATGATTGTGAGAAGGGACAGAAAAGATGCCAATGCTAGATATGCAGAGGGAGCAGGAATAGAAGTAAAGAGAAACCATGTTTGTAAGAGAGGTTGGCACAAATCCATACAGGGTTTTAGAAAATACTTTTTGCCAGAACTACAGGGAAAACTTTGTTCAAATCACCCACTTACTCAGAAGTGCTTTCAGCTATCAGGTCTTTTTTAGGCTGAAACGTGGCTCTTGCTATCTTCTAATTTTGATCTTTTAATGCTGCTTCAGGAGGATGATCATCTTATTAAGGAAACAGCATCCAGCATTTCTGGTCATCAGCAGGGGGTGAAGAGGAAGGCTGATATGCCACTCGGGTCTCCATTGGAGCCAGGGCAAATACTAGAGAAGAATGAAGACAGTAAAGTCAAACTCAAAATCAGAGTAAGAAATGGAAATTCAACTTGCACAATATGCAGGGTATTCAGAATAACAGCAGTGGCTTCTACTGGCTTTCCTTAAAGCTGTGCTCAAACAAAAGACGTGTTGTGTATATGTGTACAGTAGTTGTTACGCTTACTTTGGCAAAATCATTTCCCATCAGATATTTTATTGGCTGGCAAGAACTAAAGTTGACAGTTAATGTTCTTGTTCATACAGCTTCACGGTAAATTAGAAAGAAGGGTAGACATTGATGCTTTTTAATTTTATTGAATTTTTATTCCTTTGCAGTGGTAGATATCACCTCCTTTCCCTCTCACCCCCAGTTTATCTCAAAAATAAAATTTTTTAAATTCTACATAGTGATATTCCTAAGGATTTATTATTAGCATCTACTTATTTTTTCCCCAATATCTTAGTTCTCAAACTCTCAAGAAGAGGAGGAAATTGATATGGATACGGTTCATGACAGTCAAGCCTTTATTTACCATCATTTGAATATGTTGGAGAGACCGTCAACACCAGGTATGAATACATTTATTGTTAAATGATAATATAAAATTTTCAACTTAATTAGTTGTGGGTTGGTTTGTTTTTTTTTTGTTTCTTTTTTGCTACTACTTATTCTTATATATGTATTGTTGGTAGGTGATAAATGTTGGCTGATTTCAAGGAAGTGTGTAGACAGTGCACAATATATTTTTATCTTCTAGCATGCTAATAGATAACTATGTACATGTGTACTTTCATACATATCTAAATAAGTGTGCATCAGGTTTATAAGAGTAAAAAAGCTTAGAAATAAACAACAAAAATAGGAATAGAACCCCATAAATACTTAAGTGAAACTTTGCCACAGTTGTGACCTTAAAAATAATAATGTTGATGATTGTCCTTTGGAAAAATTAACAGTCTCTTTTTCCTAACAACTTAATGATTTAGCTTAACTTCAGTAGTCAAAAAACCTGCAAGCCTCAGAGAGCTTTGTAAAGTAGAGAAGACTGCATCTACAAATATACCATTACTGCATCTTTTTGCTATTACTATTTCAGTAACTTTGTCATAACATATTTGACAAAACTACTTGTTAAAAACACGCTTCTTAAATACCTTAAGGCAGACTGAACTTTGTTGATGAGCTTCTGCCTTCTTTCTTCGCCTGTCACAACTTAGCAGTCAATGGTTTTGTTTCTCAAAATCTTTTAACTGTGTTTATAAGTTCAGTTACCAGATGCAGCAGTGGAGCTGAGCTGAGGTCGAGTGACTGGAGAAAAGGAGGCTGCGGGGTGACCTCATTGCAGCCTTTCAGTACCTAAAGGGAGCCTACAGAGGGGAGGGGAATCAACTCTCTGAAAGGGTAGATAACTGCAGGATGAGGTGAAATGGTTTTAAGTTGAGGGAGGGCAGATTTAAGTTGGATGTCAGGGGGAAATTGCTTACAGAGAGAGTGGCGAGGTGCTGGAACAGGCTGCCCAGAGAGGTTGTGGATGCCCCGTCCCTGGAAGTGTTCAAGGCCAGATTGGATGGGGCCCTGGGCAGCCTGGTCTAGCATTAAATGAGGAGGTTGGTGGCCCTGCATGTGGCAGGGGGGTTGGTGCTTGATGATTCTTGAGGTCTCTTCCAACCCTGGCCATTCTGTGATTCTGTGACTGTGTAACTAATCTTTCAAGATCTTGGGTAGTACACACTCCACACTAAGTCTCATGACTTTCAGATTGCAGTCTCTGCAGTGTGTAAAATTTAGATGTTTGGTCCTAGAAGTAGGATTCAGAGTACTTACCCTTTCACTTGTTTTTCTGTTTTTATCCAGTGTTTGTCTAATGTAAAAGAGACACACAAAAAAAAAAAACCTTAGCAGCCACATCTGGAACATTAGTTCCTCAGTTCTCTGCTCTGTGTCCTTAGCTATGCTGGCAAGTGACCTCATCTGCATCCCCTATGACCTGAGTGTTTCTGGCATTTTAGTGGCCTTATTTTAGAGAAGGACTAATGGATGTTCCTGCATGAAGTATCCTGCTGAGGCTGGTGCCTAGGGTGCTGGCCAGGGATGTGGAAGCTGTAGGTTCATACTCCCTTTGGGCCTAGAACTTACGTTGTACTTCCTTGGCAGATGCTCTAGCCACTAAGGTTTGTTTTTTAATAAAAGGTAACTGCTGTCATTGCTCAGCTAACAAATTAAGTTCATATGGGGACATAAAACACAGGGAGGTCTAGTTTCTGGATTCCAGATGGCCTTTGGTTAATGTGTGCCTGTACAGCCAGTTCCACCAGGATGGATTTTCTGTTAGGTACGTGGAGTAGCAATGCTCACAACATTTTGCCTAAGTCATAGCCATCCTAGTAGAGAAAAGGAAAATGTACTTACTCCTGTAGGAGTGTAATGCCACACAACCTTTGTTTTAAACCTCTCAGAGCTGCTTCGAATTTTGTCCTTAGTGTTACAGACAATGATTACATTTTCTGTTACAGCAAAGAATGACATATCCAGAGCACTCAAGCGTGAAGCTGATCCACTGAGGATTAGTATTTATAACTCTTACATGATATTTTGCAACAGATTTACTAGACTTACACACTCTACGGGATATAAAGTCATAAACAAAACTAAGCCAAGTACTTCACAAATAGGACTTACGGGACCCTCTGTCAGCCAGCTCTGTGCTCTGTAATTATTTCATATTAAGTTTGTGCTTTAATTCAGAATGGATTAGAAGTGGAATAAGAGCCCATTCACAGCTGTATTTGTAGACTTACAGCATATAGGAAAAGCTACTTTGATTGTCACTTACGTACTTCTCATCTCTGCTGTTTAGGTATTTGTACACTGCAGTACATTCTCCCAGCTAGATGAGACAAATGCTGATTTTTTTATATTTTTAATGAAAGCATTACTTTAAAAAACATCAGATTAATTTTTTCTTGTGTGTGTGGCTTATGTATTTACAAACAGTTCCACTACAGATACTCCTGGCTTCTAAAAGTTCACCTGTTTCTTATTCATAGCATTTTTCTTAGAAGCAGAAATATATGAATTTCAGACTGAGTAAATAAAGGCAGTTCAATGTTTAGGAAATATCATACTTGGGGGAAAGAATTTCAAACAGATGGGGAAAAATAAAAGCATACATAAATAAGATAGAACACTTGTGTGTGAATGGTTTTACGGAGAAATCACAGATAGTATTCCCTGAGGACCTTTGAATTGTTAATTGTTTGCAGGCATGACAAAGGATGGGGGTACACTTCAGTGAGTGGTTATTGTGAAACAGATTTATACAGGTTCTGAAATGGTTTCAGAATCTTCTTACCAAATCTGAGATCCTGTAATCTGCCTCAGTTGTGACTCTTACTTGGAAAGCAGTGAGCAATTAGTCCATACTTAATTTTCATCTCACAGCTGTGGGTTATGTCCCCACATGTCACATGAAGTGTTAGGTCATCAGCCAAGCTCATCCCGCAAGGAGCAGCTGCAAGGAGGAAGCTCATGTTGGCTCTAAATGCAGCTTTATCTGTGTATTCTGTTTTTACTTTCCTCGCACTGCCCCTCCCTCTGAGTGATAATTTGGATTTGTTCAAGTTGATATAATCCCATAAAGCCAATAAAATATTATTTATATTTAAAAGCATTTTTTTTCTGTGTGCTTCTGCACATGGATATTAAAGTTTAAGGTACAGACCTGCTGCAAGGGCAGTAAAAGCAGCCATGTACTACTACTCTTTCAGGATTACAGGTTTCAGTACTATAATTACAACACCTTTGTTCATACACAAAGTGGTTTAAATTCTACTAAAGATAATAGAACTTTAGACTCTGATAGTTATATGGGAATCTGAGGATTTTGCAAGAAGTTATTAAACAAACTTGCATTTTTCAGACAGTGAACAACTCATGCTGATTGTTTTTGCAGTACCAAAAAGTTGGTAGCTTCTTTTCAACCTCTAAAACTGTGCAAGGTCACATTTCTAAAATGAAAACAGATACTTATTTGCTATTAAATTATCAAAAATAGTAGTAATGCTCCCTATCCTGTTGTAAGATAGAAGGATTTCAAGACCAGATTTCATATATGCAGTAACTTTAACATCATATTTCAGCTGTGAGGTGACTTGTTGTCATGCATTGACTTCTTTGAAATTAGATTAAGAGAGATTCTTTCTATTTAATTCTGTATTTCACTCCTCTCAAAGTGCAACACTACTTCCAAATGCTAAGAGTGGAGCAGTTAAGTAAGCAGTGTTATCTTTATGCACTGACACCAGAAGCCTTTTTCCTGGTCACATTCAGCAGCCGTGGGCTTTGAGAAGGCATCCTGTCATTCAGAACTCACATCAGAAAAACCTTTTGACTATTCCATTTATCTATTTGGTGTCTTCCAGAATAGTTACACTTGAAATTTCCACTGCTCATCTTGCAGGTCAGTGCTTTGCCTTCTAGATGTACATGTAACTTTGAACTTGTGTAAGCCACAGTCACACACTGACTGGTTATCCTAGGTATTGTCTGAAGTTTCAGGAAGTAATGATTTGACTGGGTAGAAAAAAGCACAGAATAAGTCATTCTCTGCTGTTCAGCCAAGTTATCAAAGCTAGCTGTAAGAATATTCTTACAGAATACTGTTACCTCAAAATTTAGACACTAGTCCGTGGCTTCCTGGCCAAGGGGGTTACGTAAAAATTAGAATTACAGGCAAATATGTCAGCAGACTTCCTTTGCTTGAATGGAAAGAACAACACTGACGATGACGGATTTTTGCTATGCTTTTTAAGGAGGAGAAGTTGTTTTAACTCTTCTGTTAGACTGCCTTTTAATAGCATAAAATATTAACATAGTATCTGTTTGATAGTATCTAATATACATATGTTGACTTTACTGCCTAAAATATAACTGCTTCCAAACTGGTAATTCATAAGTTTGGAGGTTCTGTAGCTAATTTTGCCTCACTGAAATAGCATGTGGTTAATTTTGTGTTTGACAAAAAAGGGTGTTTTCAAGGGCTTTATCCTAAAGTGCATGAAAGCAGCTTTAATACAAATATAAACCTTGCAGAGAAAGAAGATGGATTAAGGCTAAATTTTCAAATGAGCTGAATTGACATATTGATTTAAGTATGTGTTTTCTTTTGTAAATTTTTTAGAAGATTAGAGTAAACGTAGTAAAATATCACCAGAGTCAAGCTATTGTTTTAATGTAAGGACAAAGCAACATGGTTTTTGAAGTCAAAGGAGGAAGCTAGTTAAACAGTCATCAGTTACAAAGATATTTTATGCGGGCTTGGTTTTTAGTACTTCAGCAGAGGCATCCTTTTTTGTTATAAATCTAGTGAAAAAATGCATGAAGTCAAGTGAATCTGTAAATTGAAAGTAGTTAAAATTTTTGTGTCAGAACCAATTTAACTGATTTGTTTAGCACAATCTCAGGAGATATTTCTGTAACTAGACCTCTCCTCAACTGAACTCTCAGCTTTACAGTACGATTGCTAAAAGAGCACTACCAGAACAGTGGATAACTTTTTTTTCCAGAGATG